TCCATTGTAAAGTCAATTTTTAAAATGTGGTCTTGATTGTGAATAATTGACTATTGAGGTACCATCAATTATAGAATATTTAATGTAGAGACCCATTTTATATAATTCGGGATTACGTTAAGGTACGGCGAAATAGGAAATTGTACTAACCCTAAGCAGGTATATAAGGTCGTGGTCCCCAGAGGAGTTGAATACGATTCAGTTTACGTTCCTTTTTCGTATTGCATCGCGTAAATCGGATTCCTTCAATTCTCTGGAAGGCTTGCAAAAACCTAATTCTACACATCAAGATCGACAAACAACGATGTCAAAGGCTACGCAACCCTTACAACGATGTCAGGTACGCAACCTTTTTCTTATTCAATCTATTTTGTTGAATCTAGTGATTTGCACGATCTAGGTTATTGTGAAATTATTTGAGATTAATTATTAACAGGTAGAACACTAATAAAGGTGCAACTCTCCTAATCCTCGTTTACAGTTATATATTTTGTACAAGTGAAATTTAAAAAAACCCTTCGAAAATCAAATTCACAATGTTTTAGTAAATATTTTCAAAGTCACACCGATAAAAAAAATGAAAAAAAAATAGGAAAAATGAAACGAAGGAAAGGTTTTACAATCTAAAACATAAATAAAGGAAAAATCCTGACAAAATACATTTTTGTAAAAAAAGAATATATCATTATTAGATAATTGATGGATAAAAAAATAAATTTGAAACAATAAATAAAAGATACAATGAGTTTAGACATTCATATTGTAATTATTAATGATTTAAATAAGTTTATGATTCTAAGTATAGCAAGAAAAATTAATTCAGTTAAAAGTTGAGATTTATTTAGTTAAAATTATGTTAACAATAGAAATTTATTTCTAAATATAATAACAAATTCACAAATTAGATAAAAATCAAAAATCCAGGTCAATAGACCTCTCAGCGCATCCAAACCTTCCACTCAATGCCAAAAAAAAAAAAAAAAAAAAAAAATGCCAAAAAAAAAAAAAAAAAAATCTATCATTTATTTTTGTCAATTTTAGAAGGTGAATTTGCAGAAACTAATATCTTTTCCAAAAAAAAAAAAAAAAAAAAAAAATCTATCATTTATTTTGCAAATTTAGAATAATTTGCAACTAATATCTTCCGAAATGTCTTCATCAACAACTGTTGAACTGAGTGGAATAATATTGAACCAAAATCTTTATTCTTAGGACATTTGAAATTTTAAATTTATAATGCCCTATTAGAAGAAGACTCGTTCCTTTCAATTATAACCTTCAACCTCATCTCCTTCATCCAAAGAATCTTTCACAGAAGTATGAATAGTTTTCTCATGATTGTGCTCTTTATCTTCGACACTGCCTTTAGTATTCTCATGGCGTCCAGCTTCGATGGTTGGAATGAGAACAAGGTTGAAGATAATCAGGAATAGGATAAAGCAATGGCATGGCTTCAGTTTTGTAGCCATTAGTTAATGTAAATATAAAATATAAAAATTTGGGTTTGTTTAAAAAGGTTAAAGAAGTTAATTTTTTATATAGAGATTACAATCACAGTTTGGTATTTATAGTGAAATATTTTAAGGTAACTTCTCCAAAAATAGTATTTGCCCAAAAATGTCGAGTGAGTATAACCACCACAAGTATGTGGAAGAGTTTGATTAACAAGAAGGAAAGATTCAACATTTTCTGAAAGTACGGGATCGAGGGCATGTAACATATAAGACATTTTCTGAAAGTAACGGGGTATCGGGAGGGGCATGTTAAACATATTATATATATATATTATATATATAGTATATATATATATAGTAAAGGCAAGCTTCAAAACCCATGAAATACTGCAGGAAAATGGCATAAATAAAAATAATAATTTATTGTTGATTGCCGTTGAAAAAGATGGGATTTTGAAACACAAGAGTATACAAATCTGGGCTAAAGAGCAAGTCAATCTAAGCCCAAAACTAACTTGAATTATCATTCTATATACATATATAAAAGGAAAGCTTCAAACCCATGAATTTACTGAAGGAAAATGGCAAAAATAAAATAATAATTATTGTTGATTGCCGTTGAAAAGATGGATTTGAAACAAGAGTCATAACAAATCTGGCTAAAGAAAGTCAATCTACCCAAAAACTAACATGTGAATTATCATACTATATACAAGCACTCATCCAACGCCCACTCCACTCCATATATTCTCGTCTTTTCCTTTCCTTCAATTTCAACACCAGAAAAAAAAAAAAAATTAATTGAGTGCTAAGAACAGAAGCAGTTCCTCTCTTACTGTTCAAATCGCTATTAACAATCCCTGTGAAACTCAACTTCTTTTCTTTCCCTCTTTGGACTAATGATATATCAGCAGCTAACGATTCATGAACCCGCAATATATTCCTTTGACTCTCAGCTTCTTCTCAATTGATGGAACAATAATGGAAAATGAACAAAATGAAAATCAAAACGAGCAGGATTAGAGATTTTCTTGTGTGCGTATTTAGGAAGGAATTTTCAGGAAAAAGAATGAAAAGAAATTAAGAAATTCAGGGAAAGCTAAACTAACTAACTAAGGTGAGATGTCATTCAACATGGCAACATAATTGCCATCCGTATTGCCATTGATCCACATCACCGCGTTCGCCATTCACTTAATGCTTTTTACTCTGTCAAAGCATGTATAAATTATAAAATATAAAATCTAAAGAGCCACAAGGTCATCTTAAAAATACAGAGAGCCATAAAATTTTTTTGTGAAAATTTAGGCGGCAATTTATGTAATCGGCGAAATTTATAACCATTATAGTCCAAGTCCATTGATCTAGAGTAATGTAGAGTGCTATAAAAATGATCTCTCTTTTGTTGATTTTTTTGAAGTCCACCCATTTTCTCAAAATGATATAGAATCTCATTAAAATCTCCTCCACACAACTAGGGTAATGTAGAAGTACCTGATAAGCTTCATAATAATTCCCATGATCAAGTGTTTATGTTGATCTTCCAACCATCCATAAAAACCTGTAAATCGCCAATTTTCATCAATAATCACATCTACATGGTGAGATGAGGATGACAGCAAACTAACAGAGATACTATCCAACCAAACATGAGCTAATCCACCTATCCTACCGATATAGCGGTAACATGGAACATATAAAGCATTTTTCTACTTACATTTCTCACTAATTTTAAAAATAGTGAGAAATGACTGCTGCAAAATGACCAGAGCAATTTCTAATCACAGTAGCAAAACCTATATGCCTCATTTGAACATTAATAGACGCATCAATATCACCTATATCATATGACCAAAAAGGCTCTAAATGTCTTATTTCCTTTTTGTTGATAAAGAGATGAAGTAGCAGTGTAAATTTAAACTTTATAAGCATGATTTGGTATATGCATAGCTAAAGATCCTGTACATTCAGATATTGAGAATCGCAAGACGTCTCCTCGTAAACTTGGAACATGTAAAACAAAACATACATCTACTAATTACTATTGATTTGAAATCTTGATGCTAAGGGTGAGCGTATCCCCTAATTATAATGATGTATGGGTGAGTTTCATCTCCTTTTATTTATGGATGTTAATATCTATAATGTGATATGGAAAACAGTATTTAGATTAGCTTCATAAAGCAACATGGGTTTTTCATGGGCCAAATGCATAAATTCGCTACTGCAGGCAATTTACACAATTTTTATGATACCTTCAAGTTTGTAAGAGATCTTTCGCGATCTTTCACATTTCAGTGATAACTATGTCATCTCCAAAGTAAAGTGTAAAAGTGCAGGGTCTAATTGAAGTGTTGTGAAGTAATTTTATTTTGGCGGATTTCCCAGAAACTTGAGAGTGTCACAAGGTAAATCGTATAAACTTCAGAGGCAAATACATGCATTAGTTCGTTTTTCATGTCTCTAATGCATTGTTTATAAAATGATATTTATCAACAAGCATGGCCTCATTTTTATATTATAAAATTCATAAGGTCGAATACATAAATTTCATTCTTTTACTTTTCACAAAAATAAAACTTTATGGTACCCTCGACTTTTGTTTTAACTTATTAAACACTTCAATTTATAAAATTGTACCTATTAAATATTTTATTTCACATATTGAACATCTCAAATTATAAAGCTAAATCAATTAAACACTTATTGGAAATTTAGAAAATGTAAAATTATTGTTTCAAAAGTTGTATTAATAACATATCAAATCAATATTTTGCATATAAAAAGCAAAAGTCTTAAAATTTATTGTTTTTAATACAAAAAAGTGTGAAATTATTACAAAAAATAAAGTTCAGAGTGCCACAAGGTCGATTTTATAATACAGGGAGTAACAAAATTTGTTTTTTCAAAATTCAGAATCCATAGTATGTATTCAATCAAATCCGAAATGAAAGCAGATTCCATAAACCTTAATATGATAATAAATATATCTATTAAATGCCAGAAAAAAAAAAAAAAAAAAAAAAAATGAACATATCAAATCAATATTTTGCATAGTGTAATAGCATTTTAAGTCTTAAAATTTATTTGTTTTTTTTAATAACAAAATAAGTTTTGTGATTTATTACAAGGGATAAAGTTCTTTGTTAAGTGCCACAAGTCCGATTTTATAATACAGGGGTAAACAAATTTGTTTTTTTCCAAATTCAAGAATCCATTAGTAGGGATGGTTTTTATTGGCATTCATTATATCAAGATCGAAATGAAAGCAGCATTTCCATAACCTTAATATGAATAATAAAATATATCTATTAAATGCGCAGAAAAAAAAAAAAAAAAAAAGAAAACAGAAATCCAACTCGGATGAAAAGGTAAAATTGAAACAGAAGCCCATCCATAAAAAAAAAAAAAAAAAAAAGAAACAGAAATCCAACTCGGATGAAAAGGTAAAATTGAACAGAAGCCCAATCCATTATGAGCTGTTCCCATTTGTTGATGCACACTCAACTTACAAACTAACAAAATGGGCTGTACTCTTTGTTTTCTTTTCTGGCAACCGCCACCCATTATAGCGATTTTTTCGTTATAAATTAAATCTCTCGTCCTCTCATTTCTTTGCCTTCAAAAACTCCTCTTTCAAACCAACCTTGCTAGCTAGAGACAGAAATATCGGGGCTTGGGTTTGTAATCTCTTCCTTTACAAACCCTTCTTTATAGCCCTGATATTTCTATGTCTACTCAAGATATTCAAGAACGCGATTTCGGTGAAAAACGCTGTTGTTTTTGGATTCCGTTTCTAAGCGAGGAACCATCCCGTTCTAGTGTTGGTTCCGTTTTCTGGGAGCGGATCAATTCGATCGAAAGTAGTCACACCGCGACCAATAAGGAAGAGCCATGGTGGAAACGAGGATGGAAGAAAATGAAAGAGTGGTCGGAAATCGTAGCCGGACCTAAATGGAAAACGCTTATACGGAAGATTGGAAGGAAACGACAATCCAATTCTGGAAAGCAAGGAACTGGGAAATTCCATTATGATCCTTTGAGTTACGCGCTTAACTTTGACGAGGGTCCTAGGGAAAATGGTCATTTTGATGAGGATCTTATGGGGCGAGAGTTCTCGTCTAGGTATTCTCTGCCGCCGTCTTGTAAATCGTCGCTTGATTTCGACAACGATAAGGAAGCTATGATAGTCACGTGACGACGGAAGGAGAGTTCCTCTGCTTCAGGATGATAATCACGTGTGGGTTTTGAAGGTCAACGCCAATTTTGCATGGCCCACTGTAGACAGCCTTGACTTTGATTTCGTTTGGTCAATTATTGAATTTCAATAATTTCAGGGTGAAATTAATTTCTATTTTCTTAAATCATTTCTTTTCTTTTCTTTTTTATTTGGCTTGAAATGCACGGGGGATAAAAGTAAAAACAGAAAATTGGAATCTTGTGATCATGTAAATAGTTTAATTTTCTTCGTGTAATAGTTAATTAATGGAGTATATATATGTTATAGTAAATAGAATTTCATTTAAAAGATTTTAAATATTAATTAAGCTTTCAAATAACTTTTTATGTAAGAAAACAGGAATAATTAATGGATAATATGCACTTTATTTGCAAGATTATTTCGCAAGCGATTCTATTTTTTTTTAGGATGGAACCCTCGACCTCAGTTAAGGAAGAAGAGTGTCGAACCACTCATCCCAATACTCGTTGATTTAGACTATTCTTTTTTAATCGTTAAGAATTGTTTTAATTAGACGATTGAGTAATTTATTTTTTTATTTAAAAAATAAATAAAAGGTAACTCATTTTTTCTACTGTAACAGATGCATGAATGGGCAAAAAAAAGTTAAAATATTAAGTAAATTATGTACACAAATGCATGTGGTAGCAGATAAATTGATCCATGGAATTGGAAATCAAATTGTCGTTGTCATTTAACTGCGAAATACATAAATTCATTCAAAGATTTTTTATAAAATATTTTGTCATTTTGAATATTTGGGGAATCTATTTTAGCGTATGGAATTATGAATTTTTATAAAATTACACTTTTTTATATTAAGATTAACAATTTTTAATATTTTTAGATTTGTATACAAATTATTAGTTTATATATAATTATAAAACTTTTGAAAAATAAATTTTACCATCTTCAAATATTGAATATGTGTTTAGTCGAACTAATTTTACAAAGAGCATTTATTAAAATAATTTTATAAATTGAAATTTTTAATATATATAATTTTAAAATTTAAGGTCTTTAAAAAATTGGGTACAATAAATTTTTTTCAAAAAGTGAAAAATTGAATTTATACATTTAGCCTCGTGTAATTGGTACATGAAATTTTCTTTATTTGCATGCTGGGGATAAATTAAAATCGTTGATGTCATACTATTTATATTTCATAATACTTATCACATCTGGAATTTTATATTCCTTAAGAAAACCATTAAATTTGTGTAAGTTATAATAAATTATTGAGTAAATTGACTATATTACCCTTAATTTAATATTATGTATACAAAATTTATTTCAGTTTATTTATATTATATAACCTTTGTGAAAAAAATAAAGTTGTAACTTGCCCAATCCTTCCAAATTATAATGTGATATGTTGGTTTGCTTTCGAACCTAATTTACAAAAGAGCAATTTATTAAAAATAATTTTTATAAATTGAAAAATTTTATTTGAGTATAATTCTTTAAAAATTTTAGGTCTTAAAAAAAATTGGAAGTACCAGGGAGATAGGATTTTATTTCCCAAAAAAGTGAAAAAATTAGAATTTATTATTCCTTTAAGCCTCGTGTAATTGGTACTGCGAAATTTTTTCTAATTTAGCACATGCTGGGAATAAATTAATCTATATGATGGTTTGTCATTTATCTGAACCTATTTATATTTCATAATACTTATCACATCTGGAATTTATATTCCCTTAAAGAAAACCATTAAATTTTGTGTAAGTTAGTAGGATTAAAATTATTGAAGTAAATTGACTATAATTACCGCTTAATTTAATTATTAATTCTCTAAGAAATCAATTACTTGAAGTAATAATTTTTTATTCTTACTTTGCAAAAGGGAAATAAGCACATTGGAGGGATAAGAAAATTTTATTTACTCTTGCCTTGAAAACACGACAGAATGTGGACAAATATTTTGGAAACAAATGTAGTTTTCAATTATATTAGTTCACAATATTAAGTTATAATAAATTATTGAGTAAATTGACTATATTACCCTTAATTTAATATTAATTCTCTAAGAAAATCATTAAATTGAAGTAATAATTATTTATCTTATGCAAAAGATAAGCATGGAAAGAAAATTTTATTACTCCTTGAAACCACAAATGTGACAAATATTTTGAAACAAATTAGTTTCTCAATTATAACAAATATTATGGAACGGATATAGTATTCTACAGAGAAAAATCAATAATTAATTTGATCGTACTTCATTTATGTTTTCTTGTGAAAAATCTTTAACAATTTGCTTCTATAAGGAAATTAAAAAAGATACTATTGTTACTATATAGTTTTCATTGACTCCTTAAATCATGCCATAATATGTGTATTTCATCACCCTGAATGCATAAATATATCCATATACTTCAAAAAATATGTCTCAAACTTTTCGAGAAACCTATTGTATTCTTAAAGTTATAAATTTTGGTAACATTATAAACCTCTTCATGTTAAGAAATAATTTTTTTACTGATTTTAGGCTTTATATATAAAATATTGATTTGATGTGCGGCTATTGCAATTTTTATAACAATAATTTTCACACTTTTTAACTATTTAATAAATATTTAATTGATCAAATTGTACATGTTGGAATGTTTAGTAGAAAGATTTTGTAAGTTGAATTATTTAACGGTGTAATTTTATAAATTTAAGTGTTTAATAGATCAAAATAAAAAGAAAAAATTGCAATACGATCTCTGTAATTTGTGAAATACAACTAGTCCGTCCCTATTTTTTAGAAAATATACTAAAATGCCATTATAGTTTACTTGTGTAAGACTATGAGATCATTTCATCATTTTTTTTTTATATATCTTTTCTGTTAAGTACCTTATGAAATGATCAAAATACCATTTTATTTTTAAAAACACAGGGATAAACTAGCTGTATTTTTCAAACCGTAAGGATTGCACCGTAATTTTTCTAGTATAATATTTTAATATCTCTCCTTTAACCTTTGTGTTTTCTTGCTGACTTAACGGAAAAGTTACAAAAATTGGACGGAATGACCTAATAGTATAACGGAAGCAAAATACAAGAATAAATTAGTATATTTTAAAAAAGACAATGACAGACTAATTGTATTTCGCAAACTAAAAAGATCGTACTAATTGTCTCAAATAAAGATTGAGAATACCACAAAATTGTATATGTAAAGTTACATATATTTATGCATTTGGTGATTTCTATTTTCTTTACTTTATCTTCCTTACCCACTCTCCTTACAAATAAATACAAAACTATCAAATGTACTTAAAACACAATATTGATCAATGAGATATAGTCTTAAGAATAACTTGAATTTTGCTTGATAAGTTAAAAATACTAAAGAAAAAGAATCATTTAGCTTTAAATTTTAATTTTTCTAACGCTGTAAGACAGGCACTTGTCTACTCACTGAATTAATTCATTGCAAAATTTTGTAAATTAGTCGTAAATGATAAAAATATTAATTATGTGGTGATCTAATTCTTATCCTCACTTACGTAAGAAATGAGAGATTTTGAATTTGAATCCTCCCAACTACAGTTATTCTCGCAAATTTAGTGAGTCAAAAGAAGAGCTATTTCTTATTGTATAGCCCATGGTATTATAAGAGAATAAAATAATAAATGAATAATAAAAATGATATTATTTTAATATTTAAGGTCAACTGCATTTTTTAAAATAAAGTTATAAAACACGATATTTATTTAAATATCCCAAAAATTACAAAATTAAAAATCTACTTAGAATGGATCAGCCTGACTAGAAAGTGAACTGGGCCTAGTATAATGGCAAGTTAATAAATTCAGGCCCAGTGCTCGTTAAATAAATAAAGCAAATAAATATAAATAATAATAATAATAATAAAAGAAAAGAAGACAAGAAGTACGTAAGATCCGGTCACAGTAGCGGGAAAGTGGAGCCCACCTGCAAAGTGTGGTTGGTCAGTGACTGTTGCACTGCAGCATCTTTCTACCGGGAATCTAGAGATGACATTGTCATCTCCCACTCAGTTGCATCTGTATCCGCTAAATACATAAATTCAAACTAAGTTTTGTTAATTTAATCCAGTAAAAATTTCAACTTTATAAAATTATATTTATTAACCATCTTAATTTATAAATTATTTTATTAAACATTTCAATTTATAAAATTACATTAATTAAATATTGATTAAATAATTAAAAAATATAAAAGTTATTATTCTAAAAATTATACTAACTACACACTAATAATAATTTTTAGAGTTTTTCATTTTTATATATAAAATATTTATTTGATATGTAATTAATATAATTTTTAAAACAATAACTTCACATTTTTCAATCATCTAATTAGTATTTAATCGATATAATTTTACAAGTTTAATCATTCAATTAATCAACTAAAAAGTGTTAAATAGATATAATTTTATGATAGGATCATATTCTGATGTTCCACCAATTGCCCCAAGAGTGAGATAGGCAAACGTATCACAAATCCAGCGTCAGATAAGCGCATTCGATCTTCCTATTACAAGGTCAGAGATAGTTTTGTGTTGGAGAAACACAAGTTAAGATAGTTTTAAGTGAAGAATTTAAGTTGAGGTACCATAAAATGATACTCTCTAAGCTGAAGTGCTTGACGAAAATTAACCTTCAAACCTTTTTGCGTGCCGAAGAAAAAATTATTTTATTATATTTCATGCCATTTTATTAAATATCAGTTAATTTAATGAATTGCATTTTTAATCTTCTTTGGTTAGTATTATGTGCAGTTGCGCACAATTAAGCACTGCTTTAACCAACACATTGAGGGATCAAACTACAAGTATTTTCCGTTTCTAAATCTTCTAAAAACCACAAGTGCATACATCAAAATTATATCAAACCAGAAAGAACGCATTTTCTTCCTTTGCAGATTTCTCAGTCTGAACATCAACCATGAAAATGTATTTCATTTTATTTTTTATAAATTTCTTAATATGAACATGAATAGCACCCGTTACATAAAATTCGCGAAAAATGCGAAAACTAGTCAGTGATATCTCTTCAGGGAAGGAAAAAAAAGAAAAGCAAAACATATAGAAAAGGAAATTCATGAAATAAGAAGAGCTACATAAGCGAAATTTGCAAGTTGGAATTAAAAAAAAAAAAAAAAAAAAAAAATTTTCTTAATATGAACCATAATAGCAAGACCGCCTCGTTAGCATAAATTCGGGCTTGTTCTTTCATTATATGTGGCCTATGAAAAATGTCGTAAAGCAACTAGTCAAGTGATAATCTCTTCAGAGGAAGGAAAAAAAAAGAAAAGCAGGGGAACATATAGAAAAGGAATTCATGAAATATAGAGAGTTAAACATAAGCGAAATTTTGCCAAGTTGGAATTAAAAAAAAAAAAAAAAAAAAAAAAGGCAATTTGAAAAGAATGTACTTTGCATAAACAAAGTGCTACTTAATTCAGTGGTCCATAAAACCAAAGTAAAAAAAAAAAAAAAAAAAAAAGCATTTGAAAGAATGTACTTTGCAAAACAAAGTGCTCAATCAGGCATATAAACAGTTTGCCTTTGATTTTTATCTTTTGGGTATCACTTTTATTTTATGAGTTTGAGTAGGACAATGTAGACACACCTCAAACTTGCTGCTACCATTGACAGATATCAAGTTTAATAATAATAATAATAATAATAATAATAATAGCTTTAAATATAAAAAAAAAATTAAAGGGATTAATTATATAATAGAGGATTAATTTCAACATGACCACATGGGTAGAGAAAAAGTATGGGCCCCACACAAATTGCTACTACAGCCAAATCAAGATTTGAATTAAAGGTCTAATTTCACAAGAATGAAATTTCTGTGATGGAGCTTTCATGGATCCCACAAACACACGGCACAAAAACATTTGAAGTGCACATTATCCCAAAATGACCATCCATTAAAAGACCAAGAAATCAAAAAAAGAGTGAAGGAAAACACTCAAATGCTTCAAAATGTAATAAAAGCAAAAGCACTTGGTCCTTTCCCTTTGATCCATTTTAATGTGTAAACATTTCTCTGAGTTGGTGTTGTAGGGAAGATGGAAAGGGAAGTATTTCTAAGGCTTAGCAAATAGATGGAAATCGACCAGATTTACCGTAGAATTTTCATTCCATAGCTTGCAAGAATGAATCCTTGCTTTTAATGAGAATATATGAGATAGATTTGTCTAGTTCAACAAACGTAGATTGACATTCAAAATGATAAATGCAAAAGGTGACACTAATTAGAAGCTCCTCGAGAACCAATGCATTTCAAAATTTATTCTGCAATCCCAATGCATTTGGTAACATGAAACTCAGATCTTTCAATTCAGATATTCAATATCTGAAACAAATTCATGTGGTTTCTAATTTAATTGGTATCTTTTTCAACATAAACATTACTAATTCCTATACATAATATGAAAGAGAAGTTCTATACATTACAATTCTCCCATCAAGACATAACTTTTTAAGGAATGAATACTAACATGCTCAAGAAATAATAATGAAAATGTCTTCTTTTACAGAACATAGGACATCATGATTATCAACAAGAGGACCAACTATAAAAACAATATCTAGAATATTTGAGGTCAACTACATGCTCTCTATTTAGTTAATTTTTATACCAAGAAAAATGTCCTTGAAATTTGATTTTTCAATCATATTTCAATACACGAGTAGTACATCAACAATATACCACAACATTTGAATTAGCATCCAAAAAATTATCAAAATCAAAGGTGTAACAAGCTGTAACCAATCGATTAAAGACTAACCAGAACCACAGAAAAAAAGAAAAAATCAAATACCTTTCATTTTTCTTGTGTTCTGCCCATCCATGGCAAATCCATGTTAAGTGACGAAGGCATACCCATCTGAACATCTGAAGAGCTCGAAAACTTGCCTTTTTTAGACCAAAGCCAAATCTTAGAAACAGAGAAGCTCTCGCGTTTAGTAGCACTACTGATCATCTTTCCTTCTAAGTCTCCAGCAATAGAAAGATTCCCATTTTGGTCATTCCCCTTTTCAAGCTTAATATCGCGTCCATGTCGGTCAGTGCACAAGGAAACTCTGAGGTCTGAATTACCAAGCACATACTGATACGAACCCATTGAAAAACATCTTCTTGCATCTAATTTACTGCTACTCGTCTCTTCTCCTACTTCCCCTGTTTCATCATTTAACCTCCTGAATTTACCAAGTCTTACTGGTAAAATCCCTTTTTCAACAGTTTCTTCAATATCCACATTTTTTTGACTAGAAGGGAATCCATTATCACCATTACCAGAAAATCCATCATCTTCTCTTAAATCATCAAAATCAAACATTGGGTTTTCAATAGAAAATCCAGGAGTAAAAAGGGTTCCTCTACAAAGAGGGCATGTAGAATTTGATAATAGCCAGGTATCTATGCAATTAATATGGAAAGCATGACTACACGTAGGAAGCAATCTAAGCTTGTCTTTCTCAGAAAACTCACATAAACAAACAGCGCAATCAAACGGCTCTTTTGGACCTACAATCTCTTTGTACACGAAAACAGGAAGAGCATCTATAAAAGCTTGATCCAAACCAGAATCATGGAGATGAAAAAGTTGCTGTAGTTGTCTCTGAAGAGCATCTGAACCGGAGATTTCTGGGAATCTGTTTGACTGAGAAGAAGCTGAAGAAGATGGGTGTTTAATAAGGAATCTAACAAGCAAGTGGAGCAAACCAGAAATGAAAAATAGTACTGCAAGAATCACTATAATGAAAAGAACAGCAGGACTAATTCTTGTACCGGAAGATGGCGGTGATGAAGAAGTGGGGCTGGGTTCTTTATGAAAAGTAGCAGTATATGGAGTAGCAATTGAAGGAGGAGGAAAAGGGGGTGGGTATGTCAAGTAACCATCTTTTTGTCTAATTTGATAATGAATCCATGACATTTTCAAATGAGTATGCTCCATTAACCATCTATGATTCTCTTTTTTCTCTGACATCCCTCAGATCATTTCAGGAATACCCAGAAACTGTATATTCTCTCTTTTAGCTCAAAGAACAAACACAAACCCAACTCATCTTCAGATCAATAATGCATAAAGCAAACACCTTTGGCCTTCCATAGATGCAAGTAAAACCCAATAGATAAAGAAAACCTACTATTCCTTTCTCCTTTTTCCTTCACTCAGAAAATCTGAGGGGTAACAGTTTCTCTAGAAAACATGAGTAGCAAGTAGTTGTTTGGTTCTACAACATCCATGTTCTTTTCTTTTTTAAATATCCATTTTTTCCTTTGGTTTTAATTCTTTCTATTATATAAATCAAATAAAATCATAAGTCGATGATTGAGCAATAATAGCTAGAGAAGCTGACACATACAAAAACAACAGAAGTTGGAAGTTCGCCTAACCTGATTCTTCTTCTTCTTCTTCTCCTTCTTCAAATAAAGAGAGAGAGTCCACAACGAATGAATATTTTAAAGAAACTTCAAAACGGATGATACTCTTGCACCAGAAACAAATAAAACCTACAGATATATATAATATTTTCCATATAATAGCACCAAGGAATTGGAAAGTGAAATGGTTAGTATATGTTTCTCTCTCTAAAAGTCACTCTCCCAAGCTCTCTCTCTGTAGTTTCTTGCGGAAGAGAAAGAGAAGCAACTGAAGGAGGTGGCAGCAGCAGAGAAGTAGCACAGGATGCCAAAAAGAGGAACTGGAAGTGGCCCCACGTGCCATTGTTGCGCGTGAGAGTGAGTTTGGTCAACCATAAGCGACAAAAGTGAAGTTGTCCTATGTGGGCTTCATGGTGGACCTGGCCTATGGACAAAGAAGTCTCCACCTGTGGCCTGGCTCTCAGGGATTTGGTTACATGCAATAGGGTGTATATTAAATCATTTGAGCAGTAGTTGGCTTGACACTAGATCGTTTTTGATGAAATATGATGAAATTATGATAATCATCATATCAAACCTGATAGTAGTACCTAAGTTCTGTTAGATGTTGTGATCATGATGATTATCTTATTTTGGTTAAACATCAGTGGGGTCCATTTACAACATCTCACTTTTGACATTATTATTTTTGTGCCAAATGCGAAAAATGCATATGCCACTTCTATAAATTTTCATGTTGTACTCTTCTTTTGATGTTAACATTTAATCTTTTTTTGTTCATTTATTTCAAAAAAAGAAAAACATTTAATCCTTTTTTTTAATTACACTCTTAAGTCTGTTCCAAAATAATAACTAATCAATCTTTCCTTTTACGGTGTTCCAAACTAATAGTTTTAATTTTATTTTGAAATAATACTACAAATTATATAATATAGATAATTCTCTCTTCGTTTATCAAATTAGTAAAAACTCTTGCACTTAAGAAGAAGTGAACTTCAGACTTATCATTCTTCACAATGAAAAGACCAAATAAACCGCAATTAAGTGAAATATTTTTTTTTAACTTTTCATAATAACCTTATATAAATGTCTACATGTATAATTAATGTTATTTAAGTTTCTCACATAATGTATAATAATACTAAAATCATTAATTTTTAAAATTTCAAAAAAAAAAAAAAAAAAGGCTCTGTACAATATGAGAAGTGAGCGTTTGATTGCCGCAATCTCAAGGGAAAAGGAGTTACAAAATTTTAGATTTGGATATTAATTTTCTAAAATATTAAATTTCTAAGCATATAGGCTTTATTCCTACTTTTTCATGTATATGGGAAAGTATTTTACTGTTTTAAATAGAGGAAAAATTATATTCATATGGAAAATGAGGCATTTTAAATTATATAATAAGATTTACTTTTTTTTTTTTAGCATTTTTATTGTCATCCACACACGATAATTCAACTTTTTTATATCATTTTTCTGAATTATACTTTCCTAGAAAGATAATTTTCCATAGAAAATTTAATTCGAGTAATTAAATGACATGAAATAATTTACTTATATCTAGTGATTGATTGAAAAAAAAAATTATGAAGTGAGTGATTTATATTTCCATTAATGCATGTCTTACTTTATCTGATAGAACTATTTTTTGAGACAGAGGGGATATGAACAAGGTGAGTTTAAAAAGAAAATATTTATGGAAGTAATATTTGATTATTGAAATTATAATTGCTACCTTGGGAGGTTTCTTGTGCATAACAAGAATTTTGTAAGATGGTAAGAAATAAGTTGAATTGGATATGCCTTTGAAGGATGAAAAGTGTGAATACTTCTTTATCTTAAGTCTAAAGGCAATTAGGTGAAGGTTTTTGGATGACAGCCACCACTTTGTTGGATATTTAAGACTTACAATCAAAGAAGGAAAGGGACAAGTAAGTAGCATATAATATATTCATTAGGAGGCAATAATTTAAGGTAATAATTTTTTTTTTCATTAGGAGGTTAATAGGTCATGATAGACTAACCAGATTACATCTCATTCACAATTGTCTTTCTCTATTTATAATTTTGATTTCCATAATTAAGATGAATTATCGACAATACTTGGTAACCTCATCAAAATTTGATTTCTTATTTACATAGGACACATTTGTTCATACCAGCTGATAACTGATAGTGGTTGCTAATAGCTGATGGTCGATGGCGGATAATTGATGGTTGATAGTAATTAGCTGATTATTATTTGTGTTTGTTAAAATTTTAGTAGCGATTACTGTTAAAATATAAAATGATTATTATAGACGTAACTGTTTTTATATATTATGATGTGTAATGTGTATATTTTAAATTTAAGGTGAATATAATTTTTTATTTTAACATATGACATAAATAAAAATATTAATTAGATTTTTAAAATAATATTTAAGAAAAATTTTTAAATATTAGAAACAAAAGTATATTAATTTAAAAAAGGATAATTTTATTAATAATTTTTTATGAATATAAATAATATAAATACGAATCAACTAACAACTTATACCAAAAAGCTTCTAAAGGTAACTTATAGAAATTCCAATTAATTGGAACTCCTATTATCTATCAACGGCGGATTAAAAAACTTTACTAAACACTTATATTAGATACGAAACAGTTATTAATTACATGTATCAATTAAACCAAACCCACCTTTAATTACCTTGATGATTATAAAGCATAAAACTATTCTCTTTAAAAGTCATAATAACTTTAATGTTGTTTTTAAAAGTGACTGAAATTGCAATATTGTAAAATATATTTTTATATAATTTATAGTATCTCTGAATAGAAAAAAAAAAAAGAAGTGATGATAAGTTTTAGGTGTCTCTTCTTAAGTATGCTTTATGGTTTAATGTGACAGGTTATTTCTCAAAGAAGGAAAAAAATCTTTAATCCTAGATAAGTCATGCTGACATATTGGCTTAGGGTTTCAGATGTTCAATCTTCACCTAAACTGAAGGGCATGTCTATAAAGAGGCCTATCCAATTTATTTCTAATGCTCCATTTTTGTTTTGTCAAAAATATTTTCTTGATTTTTTATTTTTTGAGTCCTACCTGCTTGGGAAAATTAGTTAATGATTTTTTCTAATTAAGAAAAAAATTATACATAACAAGACCTTTTGTTTTCAAAATGGAAAGTATTTTTCAAAGTCTTTAAAAAGAATATATATGTATAATTGTATTTGTACACTCACTCATAATCTTCAACCTTCAACAACCACACCTAATTAAAAAAAATGCAAAAATTGAATTATTATTAGAATTGAACATAATTGATAAAGACAGACCAAACCAAACTGAATTAAATAATTCAATTTGATATTTTAAAAATTAGATTTGATTCTAGCTTTAATATATAAATTTGAATTTTTTTTTTAAATTCGGTTTGACGTTTAAAAGCATCATAAAAATAAAAGTGATTTAACTTGAAAAATAAATCAAAACTAAATAGTTGAATCGTATTACACAGCTTTGATTCGATTGGATTGATTTTAAAAATAATTTTATTTTCTCTATAAAAAAATTTAATTTATTAAATTTACACTAATTCGATTGAGTTTGAATCGAATCAATCAAATGTGCCTCCGATTTATTTAGGAACCGAAAAACCATTTCAAGTTTTGCCAATTCACTCAAAACTTTAAAACATAAATAAAAATAAATAACACTCGTAAAATATATGTTTTTAATTAAGTCTTCTTGGTCTCTTTTTCAACTCTCAAAATATATCAGTATGAGAGTGAAATGATTACACCTGTGATTGACATTTTATGTTCTCATTTTCCAACCTGAGTTGACAATTTGGTACTAAAATCAGATAATTTTCAGGGTTCAATCTCTGCAGTTAAATTGAGATCAAGGGATTTCATTTGTTGACTTGTAGATGAGGATCACTGCACTTCTTTTAGGCTTTGAGGGAAAGGGAAAGGGAAAGGAAATCCATCTAATGGCTTAAATTCCATAATTGTGTAGCTTGACTTTAAAATTGGAAGTTCCTTTTCTTTGAGAGTAGTGCTTTTTAGACCACTAAATATGGGTTAAAATAGGAAAATTATCATGTCATTCTCTACTACCACCACTTGACTTCTTCAAGTGGCAATTGGTGTATTGTATAGCCAAATTCATGTAACCATGTTAGGTATTAATTGAGCTACTATTGTTTAGAGGAATTCAAAAAATTGTGCTATATATATCACTTAATTACCAAAAAAAAGTGTAAACTTTTGAGTTTTTTTCAAATTTGATTTTATCAATCAATACCATATATTTGTTTTTTATTATTAATTTTAGCTTTCATCTAGAGTTCGATATGGTGCAATCGAATGATTCAGCTATGAGAGTGAAGAAACTTACTTGATAGACCTTGAGGTTGATGACGTGCAAATTCTTGTCGAAGATCAATCATGAGTCTTTTAATTGTAAAGCTGTATCAAATTCTTTTAAACTTGTAGTCGGATGGGAAGTGGATTATCTCAACAATGATATATTCTAACTTAGAGATTCTACAGGTAAGGATGAACACCCGAAGAACAACAATGTGGATGTGTAATGTGGGGCCAAACAACGGCTAATTAATCAACAAACTAATAAGATATGATGGAAACCATAATTGAAAAGGAAAAATTATGAGGTAATAATTAATAAAATTAAAAATATTAGCTAAATTTGCCAAAAATGTCAAAATTCAGGTTTTTTTTTTTTTTCGTGATTTTGCCCATATATATAGACTATGCCTATATTATAGAAATATTTTTTTCCTACAAATTTCTTCTTGTTTCAAAACAAAATCAATAAAAATAGAGGGAATAAAATAAAAGAGAAAATGCCAATTTAGAAAAATGAATTTTTATTCATTCTGCAAGTATTAAACACTCATTTATTGATTCAAAAATACAAATACATTCTATAAAAAAAAAAGAAAAGAAAAGAAAAAATTGACAAGCTTAATTAATTTTCCTTAACCAAAGTATATATCTTTATAGATTTGAATTCACATTCAATTCAATTCTTTTTAAGTGTTAATAACCATTCAAGGTTCATAACAACTTAAAGAACTGTCTTCTTCTTCCTTTATAGTATTAATCATAACAGCAACTTGATTCATTGTAGGCCTAGCCTCTGAATTAACGTTCACACATTTTATAGCAACTTGAAGTAAACTCAGCATTCTATCTTCACTTGCACTTTCTGCTATAAGAATCTTGTCAAATACCTCTACTGTCCATTCTTCGCGAACCACAGAATGAACCCATGTAGTCAAATCTATGCCCTTGTTCTTCACTAGCTTTCCTGTTAGTAATTCAAGAACAATAACTCCAAAACCATAAACATCTGCTTTGAACGCGTTAGTCTCAGGTCTTGGATTGACATTTTCAGTATTTTCTGTAACCATTAGTCCATATTCACTTATGCAAGGCTCCATGTTCTTGTTCATTAAAATGTTTGAGGACTTCAAATTTCCATGTGCAATTCCTTCTGGACCAAGTTCTTGATGCATAAAGGCTAGTGCCTCTGCAATTGTAGATGCAACATTGAGTCTGCTGGTCCAATCAAATGCTTTGCTCATCTGGGTACCTATTGAAATATGAAAAAAGGCATAAAAATTTAGGAATTCAATGGACAAAAACATGATAACAAATGAGGAAATGTTAAAGTTGTATGGTATTACCATTGAGAAATCTGCAGAGACTTCCATTATTCTGGTATTCATAAACCAACAGCTTCTCCTGGGTAGAAGAATAAAAGGCAAGAGCTTGCAATACATTTGGATGGTTAGGTTGATATATTTTTTCCATTCTTTGCTTAAACTCATCACTTGAAATTGCCCAATCTTTAATCCTCTTGACAGCCAAAACCAGTCCATTCTCACATATAACTCTATAAAGGCTACTGTGTTTTCCTCTTGCAAGCAACTCTGCAGGAGCCTTTAATAAGTCCTCAAAACTGAATCCATTCACTATAGGACTTCTAAGAACTACAAGCGAAGTAGAAACCAATGGACTTGCAGCTGAGTTTGCTGAAAATTCTGATTTGCTTTCACTTTCAGTTTTATGATCAGTGGAAAATGTAGCATCATCTGCTGATGATGCAACTATGTTAACAGAATCAGGTTTCTCTTCTTCTTTTCTCCTTTTGCTCAGCTTATAAATGATTAAGCTGAAAAAAGCAAATCCTACTGCACCATAACCTGAGTACATAATTATTTCATCTTTTGATCTTTTCTTTCCATCCGAATTGTTCTTATCGTCAGGGGAAGATGAACAATCCCTTTTTAAGAGAGGTCCACATAATCCAGGATTGTCAAGAAAGCTGCTCTCGTTGAACGGACCAGTCACTACTGGAATAGGACCTTTGAAATCATTGAAGGAGACATTGAACATTTCAAATTTGGAAAGATCAAAATTTGGTAACTCACCAGTGAAGTGATTATACTGAGCAAGAAATGTTGTAAGACCTGAAATTAGCGATAAATTTGGTAAGTTATCAGAGAAGTCATTGAAAGAAACATCAAGTCTTTTCAGGTTTTTAAGATTGAGTAGTGAATCAGGAAGGCTTCCAACGAATTTGTTTTGGCGTAAAAGCAAGCGAACAAGATTCTTGCAGTTAGAAATCTCTGCTGGTAGATTTCCATTAATACTGTTCTGATCAAGCTTAATATGTATTAGAGAATTAGCAAGAGGAGGCACATTGCAAATAGTAGCAGCATCAAAAACTCCAGAAAGACTTGACTGGTTGAGATATATTCTTCTTACTTCAGTTTTCGTTTGAGAATCGCAAATCACGCCTTTCCAGCTATTCTTACAGGGATCAGTATAATTGTTCCATCCGAAACTTGGATCAGGTTGGCCTGTGGTGCTGCCGTTGAGTTTTGCAAGAAAGTTAATCAGTGAGCTCCTGACTACCTCCTCTACTGCAGAATCTGTTGCGTGGAGGAGGAGAAAGAATGAAATGATGAGTGCCCATATTGGGATTTGCTTCATTTTTCGATGATGGCCTAATTAAATTTTGATGCAGAGCTTATAATTTTGGTTATGGAGGAAATCTCTAAGTTCATGGCTGGAATTAGTTATAATGCAAATCGGCTGATTTCACAATGGAATTTTTGTCTTGTTATAAAATATACTGCAGCTATAAGGGCAAGGACTAAGCCATTTGGCTCCAACTAAAATTGGAAACAAGGTGCCGGCAACAAGAAAATGATTGATTGATGTCAATATAAAATGTTTCACAGCCGCCACTGAGACTTCATAGAGCCTTCAAACTTCATTTTGATCACTTCTAAACATTATCTAGCTATAGATTAAGCTGAATCAGAGGCTTAAAATGTGAATATGAAAAATGCTTGAATTAACCATATAAGTAATTCAAATGATAATTGCATACAACTTGCCACGGAAGAGGAAACTAAATACCAGGTTTCCACTGTATTTATTTACGATTACATATTTTCACTACATCTAATGTCCTTGATAAACACCATTTTTGTTATAAATGTAAGGTTTCTCTTTTAACTAATCCTTCATTAATTTACAAGCAATTGAATAAATGACCAACTAGTAACTGAAAAATAATGAAAAGGACAGGTAAATATCAAACAGATTGGCACCCCTCAAGGATCTGCATCACCAGCAACATTATCATCGCTAGATGTGCTTTCTCCGTCACTAATTTCCTCATCGCTGTTATCTTCATTGCTATCTTCTGAGAGTGTCTTGCTGATATTTTCCTTTTTTGCATAAAGTTCGCAGTACTCTGTCATAATAATAATCCAGCATCAACCAAAAAGTTGAGAACATATATTGAGTGAGGTTCATTTATAATGGTTTGTGTGATAATAATAATTCCCTGATACTTCAAATTAAATTGCAAGCATAAAATAACCCAAATATATATATATAAAATTGAATGAAAATGGTTTCACCTTTCACTTTTTCTTCATACTGTTTCTTATCCTTCATCATTAGAGATGCCGCATCACCATTCAGTGGGTCTGAAGGATTTGGATAAAGCAGCAGCTGTGGAAGGAAAACCTCAAATACATTTAAAAGATCTGCAGCCACAGAAAGCCATAGTAAGATAGTTTAAGCCTCAACGTCCAGTGAGACAGATTAAATGGAGAATCATATAAATAAATAACATCATTGTCAATATTATAAATACTGAAACTTATCTATGATCACCATAATTTCTTATTGGAAGGTGATTAGAATAAGATCTGGAATGGTAAGAATCGAGTTCAAATAGATTTATTACAGGGAAAGATGAGAGAACTATTTAATTTATTATAATTTTGTTAATGGATATGCCTTTTTTTGTCTCATCAGAAAAGATAAAAAGACAACAAAATTCAGGAAAGATGAGAGAAGAGAACCACTCTGATAATTATTCTTTTACCATCACAATCCCATATATTGGTCCCCTTGAAAAATCATTTGCATGCCAAACAACATGCAACCTGTCACGTGTGCATCCATGTTTTTATCAAGAGCTGTTGCATTATGCTTGGTCCCTCATGTCAACATTACAGCATAAATAAAGATAAAGGAGGTTTATGTGAGGATGCCAACTTACATAAGACAGCCAATGATCCAGGGACACAGTTTACAGTATATGCTCAGCAAATATAGAGTTTTCACTAAACAGCATAACATGAATTGAGTTGTGGATTAAAGGCTGTATGATGAATGTTGATTTGAGTGTATGTGCTTTGCTATGAACTTGCATGTTACAGATATATCAGGAAATTAATGGGGAAAGAGCAGATACATTTAGTTGCAACAATGAGGATATAAATAATTTTGAAATTACCAAACATTGGACTCCATGATTGGTTGATGACATCCAAGCATACAGAACCAGACCTGTCAATTACAGAAGGAAATAAGCTAGAAAACTTTAATAAAAAAAAGTACTACACCATGTAAATAAGAGACAGTTCAGCATTTCAACATTTTAATGTAAGTGTGGCCTCAAAATAAAAACTATGATGAACAGTGAAAGAACTGCATTTTTGCCACTGGTAATAGAACATGAGCTTAGCAATTTGTCAAAATCTAATTTACAGAATGCTTTTTGTCCTAGTACTACAAAGGCAATATTGAAGAGAAGGCAAACAAGGATTGTAACCAAGTATAATAATTTTCAAAATGGTAGCAAGAGGCCAGTATGTCCGCTGTTCTGTGATCAGTAAAATGGATTAACAAGCGTTCAACTAGACCACATGGCTAACAATATCTAACTGATACAAAAAGACAAGTGTTAAGTTTTCCCAGAAAGCTTACATCTCATCAACGTTAGGGTGAAATATTTTATTCAGAAACCCAATGGAAGGAGACTTGTATGGATAAGCATCTGGTAGCTCCACATGGATTTTCCAAACACCACCTTCATAAAGACCTGAAACCATTAAGATTATATAGAAAATATTAATGAATAAAGCAATAAGGAAAAAAATCAGATATGCGATTGCCCAATCTCTTGTTCCCATTCTTTTTTTTTTTTTTTATAACAACATAATGCATATTTTTGTTTACATACATATATGTGCACATTATGTGTTATGTGAAAGAGAGAGGGGGTCTCTAGAACAATGTTAAAGGAAACAGTAGAAAGGATATAGAAAAAGAAAATTACTTTCTTTTGGTCCATGGAATTCCACATTGAATTCACTAATCCCATCATTGATTGGCTCCACAGCATAGTCACTCATCATCCTGCAGAACAAGAAAACAGCAGAGCAGAAACACCATTACAATGGTAACAACCTAGAAAATTAATTTGAACTGAAAGCAACGAGAAATGATGCTTAAGTTTCAGAAGTCAAATAAAAAAAACCAAACGCATCAACTATCATGGGAAACGCAATCATGTAGTTTGAAACATAATGACTAGAGATGAGACTAAAGATTACATATCAGTGAGTCATAAATAATGGCAACAAGCCTTATAGCCAGTAAAAGAACCATAAGAAAATTAGAGACAGCAATGATCAAAGATAAAAAGAGAAGAACACTCACAATTTCATTACATCCATATCTCTTCTCTTGCTTGGAGAAGACATCCTCTCATTTAACAGATGTTCTTTGCTACCAACCTGCCATGTAACAACAATTATTACAGGTAAGTCCAAAACAGATTCTCAGATATAAGTGATAAACTTTCCCAACCCAGATCCTACCAAGTGCATGGACACATATTTTTCTACTCAATTATAAATTTTCATTACTTCATGAATTTTCATCAAAACCAACCAATTCCAATTTTTATATCCCCTCTATAACAATAATGTCAAAAGCTGCAAACAGGAATTTCATTGTTTCCTTGTTGAATACCAAAATCCATCTGAACATATAGTCATAACAATAGTAACATGCAACTATTTCAACATATATCTTAGATAATTCCTAGGCAACTGAGCAAGTCAGAGTGACCCAACCCATTATTTCGCAGTCTAGTAGAAAAATAACCCAATTACTAACTGCCATGTAACTCTTCTACACCAATTATTCATAAACATCAACAAGATGGTTTTCCCCCTCTTTTGTTTTTTGATTATCCTTTTTATAAGCAATTCAAATTGCATGAAGAAAGATAAGTTAAAGTGAAGCTCTATTATGTAATGGCATCACTGAAAGGCATAGATCATCAGCAATGCATACTGAAATACTAAAACATACCAATAAATACTGTCATAAACTTGCTCTATGTTCACGGGTAAACAAAAATATATATCAATCACCAAATTGAAGCTAATGCATATATGTTTTTCCTTTATTCAACTCAAGCAATCATAAAAAGATCAATCAAGCATCAAAAAGGGACCTATTATTAGTAAAACACCAAAATTCAAGATCTAGTCTGTAAACAAATATCACAAAATTAAAACTAAAACCCCAATTGACAAAATCACAAGATAAAAGATGTTGGAATCTCCGTAATTGAAGAAGAAAGAACTCTGTTTGTTAGGTCTCTTATATAAAAATATTGGAACAGTGGAGCACAAAAAGTGACCAGATAGACGGCAAATTTTGAGAGACGAAGATGGATCACGTGCGTATGTTTTCGCATGAGGCACGTATTGCTCGCGTTTGAATGTGCCTGTATAATTTGTGGCGGGTTGGCTCCTCCCTCCAGTTTTATAGTTTTCCGAGAAGTGGTTTGATTGAATCTTAGTCTGAGGCCCTATAGGACAATGGTTTTCATTTAACGGCGTCGTTTTTTTCTCAAAAAGCACATATTTTAGCGAATTTCTATTTCAATAAACAGTTTAAATGTTTGTCAAAAAAAAAAAAAAAAAAAAATCCCAGGCACCCAAGAGCCTCAAGCTTGCACATTAAAATAAAGAATCCATTTCCCAAGCAATGTCATAAAAGTGGGACCCTTATTATTAGTAAATAAAGACGCCACCAAAAAGAACAACATTCCAAAAGCTCTAGTCTGGGCGAGTACACGAAAACAGAATATCACAAAGTAAGTTCATAACTCCAAAACCCCTAAGTTGACCAGTACACAAAGGACCAGTACTTCACCAACCACAAGATTTAAAAAGATCTATGTCCTTCGTAGGAGGAAAGATCTGCCCCGTAAAATTATGAGAAAGAAAGGCAAGACTCTGTTTTGTTACGCCTCCCTCGTTAAATATCAAAAAAGGTCATGAAAAAACATTGCGGAGGCCACCGTTAGGAAAGCAAACCAAGGCCAATCAAAGTAGACCAGGACGCATTCTCGAAGAAACGCGGACACAACATATAAGTTTGAGAGACGAAGATGGATCACCGTGCGTAATGTTTTCGCATTGAAGGGCCAACGTATTGCTCGGTTATTGATGACTCGTCACCGTAGCGCTACTCAAGTTTGTAGGACGGCGTTGCTCCTCACGCATCCAGTTCCTACTTCGTATAAGAGTTCTCCGCGACGGAAGATATAAGTGAGTTCAGCACTAGAATCTTAAGTCTCGTGAGGCACCGAGATAAATATAGGACGAATTGGTTGTCATTCACTTAATAACACGGGCGTCGGTTTTTTTCTCAACAAAGAGGCGACGCAATACTATATCTATAGGAGCGAGGAATTACTGATCAAATTATCAAGCCTAAAACGAAGTTCACCGATGTTATGTCAAAAAAAAAAAAAAACAAACAACAATCCCAGTGGACAAAAACACGGTGTCGCTTTAACACTAGATTTTCCTTCCAATTGGTACTGTATTCTTTGGCGGCAAGCATCAAATTAGCCAATAACTGAAACTTGAACTAGGGTTCCAATGCTTTCATTCTCATTTTCTCCATTTCTTCACTGACAGAAGACCGGAGAAAAGGCGAGGGACAAAAAAAACTGAATCAGAGATGGGATGTCCACGGGTCTATGGGACTTACTAGCCTCCCGTCGGCCGGTCGGCGTATCCGTGGGAAAACCCTTGCCGGCAAAAAGCTCGCAATCGGTACGCACAGTACTGTTCCCCGCCGAAATCAAATTAAACCAAATACAAGAGCATAATGATTTTTTTTTCTTTAATTTACCCCCTTTTTCTTTCTGTCCCTGAAGGATGCGAGTATATGGATGATTCAATTCATGAGGCGATGAGCAGACGAGGAAGGGAAGAAGGATTTTGGTTGGAAACGCGCATTTTGCTTTAGGGTTCTTTCACGAATTTGCAAGCTCTTGTATTTGAGGACTAAGCCTGGTTCGTGCTCGACGGAGGAACCCCCGGCTCTATAACGGCGCACCGGATTGCAACGAACGGAGAAGGCAGCGTGAGACGCCCAAGGCAAAGAATTCCGCAAAACTGACCGAAACGCTACTTCTTAATCATGTGAGCTTGGTTAGATATGTAAGGTCAAATCTACTGATGCGACAAATTTTTCGAAATGAGGGTAGAGTTTGCCCGGGCTGGAGATAATAGGCTTAAATTAACTTGGTTATTATAAAGACGACCCTGTGGATGCAATCCTACAGATGCAGATAGCTGTACATTAGAACCGCCCACTGGCCTATGTGCTTCGACGCAGTAAAGATGACCGAATTTGCATATTAAAGTATTGCGGAAATCACTAGGTAAACCATAAGGCCTAATTGATCTGAGCGCACCACCAGAGTGCCACTCCAGTAATAAAGGAATTGTGCGTATATAGATATTGTAGAACAAGCATTCTTAGCCAAAGTGTATAAAAAAATTGAGGACAAAGAGACTCTTTTCCAAATAACACTATCAATGTTAAAGCTCCCACAATAATATAGGAATATTACCATAGGGTCCATTTGCTGTGGTCCCCGATTTTTTTGCTGAATAGCACTCTTAAGAACCACAACCACGAGAAGTGGCCTGTCGAGAAAGAAAGCCCGACCTGAGCGAGAACACGCTCTGGTGACGTGCGGGATACAAGTGCGACGCAAAAAAACCAAAGAGGATAACAACAATAATCGTATCCGTCTACAAAAGTAGATTAAAGAAGATATTGTTTGGCCAGATCATGAGCGCCATGCTAAGAGAGGAATGGACGACTTCGTTAGAGATGAAAATGGAGATGTTGAGCAGCAAAGTGTAAATTGAATCAGGGAAAAGTTAGACCGAAATGAATAGATAGATACAAGACATTGCTAAAAGGTAACTGATGCAATCTCACACAATTTTCTCGACTGTTGGTTAGAAAACATTTTAAATTTACTGTTTTGATGAAAATGATTCAGGTTCGATGTCAGCGGCACTCCAATTATGCGAAGGACGAGGAATAGATTGGCGAAATGCTTAAATAAAAATCCAACGCAATCGAACAACCCTCTGTACGTGCTAGCCACATCCGGTGCATTAGAAAAAAAAAAAAAAAAAAAAAATCCCAGTGGACAAAAACGGTGTCGTTTTACACTAGATTTTCCTTCCAATGGTACTGTCATTCTTTGGCGGCAAGCATCAAATTGCCATAACTGAAATTGAACTAGTCCAATGCTTTCATTCTCATTTCTCATTTCTTCACTGACAGAAGACGGAAAAAGGCGGGACAAAAACTGATCAGAGATGGGAGTCCACGGTCTATGGGACTTACTAGCTCCCGTCGGCCGTCGCGTATCCGTGGAAACCCTTGCCGGCAAAAAGCTCGCAATCGGTACGCCACAGTACTGTTCCCGCGAAATCAAATTAACCAAATTACAGAGCATAATGATTTTTTTTTCTTTAATTTACCCCTTTTTTCTTCTGTCCCTGTAGATGCGAGTATATGGATGATTCAATTCATGAAGGCGATGAGAGACGAGAAGGGAGAGATGGTACGAAACGCGCATTTGCTAGGGTTCTTTCGACGAATTTGCAAGCTCTTGTATTTGAGGACTAAGCCTGTGTTCGTCTTCGACGGAGGAACCCCCGCTCTTAAGCGGCGCACCGTGATTGCAAGACGGAGGCAGCGTGAGAACGCCCAGGCAAAGATTCGCAAAACTGCCGAAAAGCTACTTCTTAATCATGTGAGTTGGTTGTATATAATAATTATTTTGAATTTTTCAGGTAGTTTGCTGTAATTATTATTGGTTTTAAGTGGAATTCTACTGAACTTATTAGACGCCACTATTGCCTTTCTTGGGTGATGAGATTTGTATAGTTTTGGGAATGATAAACCTATATTGACTGGCACAATGCATCAGTATAAGATTGTCTATTGTTTTGTAGCATTTAGCAAGTTATAAATTGGGTAAATTTTCATACTTCATGTTAATATCATATATGGATTATTATCCATTTCTGTTCGATTTTTTGCTGATAGCTCAAGACAACGAGGCTAAAAGAACTGGCGAAGGATCTTGAGAATCAGAGAAAAAACCAGAAAAATGATGCTAAGGGTAAGAAGATTTTGGCAGATCAGACCCATGTTGAGGATGACATTCTAGAGAATAATGATGTGGAAAGTTATGATCAGGAAAAGTTAGACGAAATGTAAGATGATACATCATGGTAATTGTAATCACAATTTTGATGTTGGTTAGAAAACATTTTATTTACTGTTTTGATGAATTGATTTAGGTTGGCAGCATCCATTGCGGCCGAGGAAGATGGGAATTTAAATAACAATGCATCAACATCTGCTGCTGCAGATCCTGCTGTGGTGATGGAGGATGATGATGAGAATGAAGAGATCATATTGGTAAACCATTATGTTTTAGGAATAAAGAATTATTAGATTGGTTTGCGTTAACTGGTTGGTCTGATTTACCATTTTCTGAAATTGTTAATTTTGGAAAGTTTGAGGACCATTATATAAGTAAGCTAAATTCATAGGCTGGCAATCTAGAAGGTCCAAGTGTTTCAAAAATGATGAATAATTTGGATGCTTAATTTATTTGGTTTCTTTTGCCAGTACAACTTTGTAAATATGTCATGATGGAACACTATTCTTTCATTGGGAAAGACAATGTTGCTAACTTGTGGTTGCAAGATTTATCTATGTCGGGTTTTCTTCAAAATGCACGATTATTTCATAATTTTTTTTCCCAGCCGGCAATGTATGGACATGTAGATCCAGCTGTCTTGGCTGCTCTGCCTATATCCATGCAACTTGATCTTCTGGTAAGTAAGAGTTGGTGTTTATAAGGTTAAAGGTTCTTTTCAGATCTGGTTTTTCAGCTTTCACTTTTGCTGGTTTATTTTGTTATGGTAGAATTGATGATGATATCTGTTATAGATGAGAGAGAGATCGATGTCTGACAACAGAAATAATCAGGGAGTTGAGAAGGTTGGTTCTTGCATTTATATATTTACAGTTGATCTTAGTGTAAAACGTTTTTTTGCACAATTGCCAAATGTAATGATAAGCTATGCTAACTGAAATTTGATGACTGCTTGATCTCAATTACTGTGATTGTACATGAATTGAAATTCTGGATCTTATTTGATCTGGTACTTACATTTTATTCCTTTTGTTTTGTTCTGTTTGCCTTGAGAAGACTGTGACTTGTGCAAATTTTTATGAGGTCAGGCTGTGCTTGGGGTGGTATGGACCTTCATCCAAGTTACCATGTCATTGTATTGCTCTCTTTGAGTGATTTTTGAACTCATAATTGGATCCTTAAATCGTGAGAGATTCACTTTTCTGCTTAGAACTCTATTGATTATTTGTGGATTTTTGTCCTTCACCTGTGGACTATATGCTGAATAAGATAAATCTATCTTCTCTATTTTACTACTTTGTTTTTCACTGTTATTTTGCTGAAGCAAAATCAGGTTTGTCTTCACATGCTTTGTGGAAGTTTGTTCTGGTTGTTGTGAGATGTGGAATTAGTTTAAATGATTGCGTATGCTTTACCTAGATATCATTTTTTTTTGTATGGTACCGACATTGATTTTTGCTAACTCTGACGGTTGTATTTCTAGTCCTAACTGTTGTCAATAACTATACCAAATATGCATTAGGTGATTGAAATTTTTTATTACTCCCTCTGTCCCATTTTGTTCGCATGTTTTAATAGAACACGCATATTAAGAATATAGTTAACAAAAGTTATTTTGGCCTTTTTAACCTTTAACTCATTAAGATATTAATAAAAGTCCTTCATTTAATAAACAATCATAGAGGTTATGATGGGAAAAATAATTGTTTACATATCTAAATTTAGAAACCTTGCAAACATTTTGGGACATCCAAAAAAGGAATAAAAAGCAAACAAAATGGGCGGAGGAAGTATATTTTATTTTAATTTCTGAGCTGTTAAGATGAAAGAAATGATATTAATTTGAAGGGACATAAACCTATTAACTCAAAAGGCTGAATACTCACCATAGGCTTGGCTGATTCATAGTTGCCTTCTTCACATCCCATATGGATAATTGATGCTAATCATAAATTCTCTTTGTTAATTGGCAAAGGATACTGGAAACCAAAGTGAGGATCACAAGACTAATTTAAGGGGCAAGGAGGTTTTGCTAGATCATCTGACAAACATGGAAGGGGGTAGTTCAGAGAGAAATGATCTAGAAGAGAACTACAACCAGGAAAAGCTAGATCAAATGTAAGTTGTTATGAGGTTCTAGAAACTATTTGTATTTTAAGCTCTAGTTGACTGTGCCATTGATTGTTTTAATGAGTTAGTTTAGGTTGGCAGCATCTATTGCTGCCGAGGAAGCTGAGAGATTAACTAAGTCTGCATCTACATCTGCTGCTGCAATTCCTTCTGAGGAGGAAAGCGGAGATGAAGACGAGGAAATGATACTGGTAAGTTTATGCCATTTAAAGATGTGAAATTTTTGTTGATGAGAATTAATGTAGATTGCAGGTTTTATTCGTCATTAGGTTGGCTGGCCTAATTGAAAGCTTAAGTTCAAACCATGTCCATAGGATGTTGACTCACGAAATTTAATCGAATACCATATGTTATCTTATTGAAGAATGCACTCGGCATTCTTGTTGTTTGAGAAGTAGACTTCACCTCTCACTGTGTGCATATGCTGGATTGCATTTACAGTCTATGTCTAACGGTGGTTCTGCTCGATCTTTATTTTGCAGCCTGCATTGTTTGGCAGGGTTGATCCAGCTGTCTTAGCAGCTCTGCCACCATCAATGCAACTCGATCTTCTTGTTCAGGTAAATTTTCAGTTATGTGATTCCAGTAATTCCATATTGGATAAAGAGTTGCCAGATTGCTCAACTGCATTAGCCTTGTCTTTTGATGCTAATTTAAAATTTTCCGTTATATAGATGAGAGAGAGGTTGATGGCAGAAAATAGGCAAAGGTATCAAAAAGTCAAGAAGGTTGGTTCTTGAATATATGTTTTTTATCATGTTTCATGTGAATGTACTATAGATATTGTGTATAGCGTTGTGAAATTGTAAATGCGGTTTAATTTGGGATATACTTAACCAGAAATCTAGCATGAAGCTGTATATTTAATTTGCATAGTCATGGTGCTGTTACTGTCAATAGTGTTATGTTTGACATTGATGAGTGCTTCTTCTTAATCTTGTAGTTGCATCTTATTTGTTCTGCCCATATAGGCACCTGAAAAGTTTTCTGAGCTACAAATTGAGGCTTACCTTAAAACTGTTGCTTTCCGCCGGGAGATAGATCAAGTTCAGAAAGCTGCTTCTGGAAAGGGTGTGAGTGGTGTTCAGACTTCAAGGATAGCCTCTGAAGCCAACAGAGAATTTATCTTCTCATCATCCTTTACAGGGGACAAACAGTAAATAATTGTGGTTTTATTGCTTTATGCATTTTTTTACCTTTACATACTCATGATCCATGAAAAGTGAAAACTATTGTTCTGAGTTTAACTTCATTTGTATGGCCTGCTTCTTGTCAATGTGAAAGCATCTTTATTTGATATTTACATTTTTGCACACATTAGATTGCTGACATCTGCTGGAGTGTATAGAAATGGAAATGAGCAACAACAGAGGTCAATAGGGCATTCGTCTTCAGACTCTTTAGCTCATGTCTTGTCTACTAGTAAGTCCAATACTGTGACAGGATTGGTTCCACATGAATCTAGACAGGTAATTGATGAAGATGTTGAGACATACCTGGATGAAAGGGGTCATATTCGAGTCAGTAGGGTGAGAGCCATGGGGATGCGCATGACCCGTGATTTGCAAAGGAACTTGGATTTAATGAAAGAGATTGAACATGAGAGAACACATGCAAACAAGAATGCAAGTGCTCAGTCTGAGGTTAATAGAGATAACATTGGTTATCCAAAAAGAATTCCCAGTAAAATACAGCATGTAAAAAGTTCAAATGACAACAATGGTGACTCTGTTAAATTGAATGAGAGAAATGCAGAGTCCATCTTAAATAATAAAGGACTTTTAGAGATATCTTTTGAAGTTGATGGTGAAAGTAAGAGTTTGGGAAGTGATGATGAAATATTTACTTCTTTAGTAGCAGGAAAACCGGTTACAATCTCTTCAGTTGACAATGGTACATTAAGAAGAGAATCTTCTGATTCCGTTTCAGATAGTGACTGGGAGGAAGGAATTATTGAAGTGAGAGGCAATAATTATGAACTAGAAAGTAATCCCCCTCCTAAGGGAAGCAACATTGGATCAGATAGTGAAGTGGAATGGGAGGAAGGAGTATGTGATGTTGAAAATTTCTCACTCCCATCTGAATCAGGAAAACTGGCTTCCAAAGGTTATTTGGAGGAGCAGGCTGATTTGCAGGAGGCGATAAGGAGAAGTCTTGAGGATTTTGGAGATGAGAAATTCAATCATGCACTATCTGAGCATGAAAAGCAAACATGCTCTGAAGAAAATGCTTTCAGTGGTGTTGGATTCCTTGATTCTGAAGATAATACTTGCAGGCCGATTCTGCTTGAGAAGGATGCTAACCAACAAAATAAACACTCGCCTGAAATTTTGACAAGTGCAAAGCTGGACAGCATGGATCAAATTGATGTCTCGCATGTCTTTTCTTCTTCAGGGAGACAGTTGAAATTGTCTGAAGTACATGATCCTGATAAAATGAGCATCCTGCAAATTAAATCATGTGTAAGAGATCTGGGTTCCAACACTGCACAATCAAGTCAAGATGCAAGTATAGGGGGAAATTTCTGCAGAGGAATGCGATCTGCAGAATCAGTTGCTCCTTTGAAAGCAAAGGAGGCCCACATGACTGTGGAGCTATCTTCAGATACTTTGGTTCAGGATGTTGGGTTATCTACCTCAAGTAATATATCTTCAGCTCATGGTTCTCATGTATGTAAACCAATATCTGGTAAAGGAGCTCAAAACATACTTACTGATGATTTGGGAAATAAAATGGAAGAAGAAATATCAATGTTGGTGAATGAGGAGCAAAAGACTGATCCTTTAGTTCATTCTGCTGAAATAGCTAACTCTTCCATGTCCAGCATGGAGCCATCCAAAGATTCAGCAGTTGGCACTGATGTCGAACCCAACTTGGCTGGAGATAAGAATTCTGATAATCAGTTTAATGAAAATTGCATGGACAAATTTGGCAGAAATGAGAATTTGCAGGCTGATTTTGCGGAGGCCAGTTTGCAGGAGGAAATATTTATTCTTGGTCAAGAGCGTATAAATTTGGGAGATGAATGGAAGAAGCTTGAACGTAATGCAGAATCAGTTAATAGCGAGATGTTTGCAGAATGTCAGGCATGTGCTTCAGCTTCTGTTTGACTCTTTAGCTAAATCACATGCCTATAATTGATGAATTTGTGGATGCTTGAAGTTTTCTTAACTTTGTTTCCAATATATCCATTATTTTCTCAACTTGAAATAATAGATACTGGAAGGATATAATTGATTCAGTTGCAGATTTCAACTTATTATTTGTTTTGGTATCTAATTATTTCACAACAAATTCATAAATTTGTGCATTGAATACATAAAATTATATCAAAACATACTACAAGCAGTGGTATGTGTATGAATTAATTAAATGACCTCCTAACAAAGAAGTGAAGCTGTATGATTTGAATACACTGTTTCTCAATGTTTAAATATTTTACTGAGGTTTGCTCTTTTATCGCTCCAAAGGACAAGATTCTACAACCAAGATTTATTGAGGGATAAAATTGCTAATGTATACCTTAACCAATCCGTAATATCATCCTGAAGGACCTCAACTAGTGAAGAATATAAAATTCCGTTCAGGAGTGCCTGCTTCTTATTGCACATGGATCTTTTACTTGTCAATTACATCTCAATCTAAAGTACGTTTTTCCTTGGAGAGAGTAAACTGATATTAATTTAGTGTTCTATCATATGCAGGAACTGCTGCAGATGTTTGGCTTACCATATATTATTGCACCAATGGAAGCAGAAGCTCAATGTGCTTATATGGAACTTGCAAATCTTGTTGATGGTGTTGTGACTGACGACTCTGATGTGTTCTTGTTTGGGGCACGAAACGTGTACAAAAATATATTTGATGATCGCAAATACGTTGAGACATACTTCATGAAGGTGTGTATGGCATCATCTGCTGTTCTCTCCTACAGGGATTTTTTTTTTCCCTTGCTGTTAGTGTTTCCCTATAATTTAGAAGTCATGTGGTATTTGATCTTTATTTGTTGATTTCTTTCTTTTGCTTATAGCTATTTGGCATGATTTTGCAATGTATATATCTTTCTTTCTACTTTACTTGACAAGTCTCTGAACTTAGTTGCATGGGAGTCCTTACAGGTTCCCTTTTATGTTCATACTTTCTTTCTTTTTTTTTTTTTTTCAGGATATTGAAAAAGAGCTAGGCCTAAACAGGGAAAAATTAATTCGCATGGCTCTACTTCTTGGGAGTGATTATACTGAGGGTATTAGGTATTTGATAGTGACTAATTTGTTTTTTTTCAATTTACCAAGTCAAGATACTGAAGGTATTATGTTGTGTTCTTACGCCCTTCGATTTTTCTGTATATAATTTGTTCGAATGACATTATATTGGTTATTTATAATGGGAGATTAAGAACCATTTGCTTGCATTACTAGATCTCATGATTTCTTTATTTTGTGTATGGACTTCATTGAGATGTAATTTCTTGCAGTGGGATTGGCATTGTTAATGCTATTGAGGTCGTGAATGCATTCCCTGAAGAGGATGGCCTTAAGAAATTCCGGGAGTGGATTGAATCACCAGATCCAACCATTCTAGAAAAGTTTGTCAGGCAAAATGGTTCAAGTATGAGAAGAAAAGGGTCAAAGGTTGGTGACAGTGATTCAAATTGTGCAACTAGCAATACAGGAGAAGTCAATTCATTTGGCCAGAACATTCCCCAAGTTCATGAGCAAGAACAGTCTGAAGATAACACTCAAGAGATACAGAGGATTTTCATGGTTAACCATGTAAGAAAGTTTCTACTGTAGGCTTGTCCTTCGCTGTGTGAACTTTCTAATGGAATCAATCTATACTTCCCTATTTTTTTGAGTATCATTGGTTTTAATTTTATACAGAGAAATGTGAGCAAGAACTGGCACATTCCTTCTTCTTTTCCAAGTGATGCAGTCCTTTCTGCATATTCTTCCCCACAAGTGGACAAATCAACTGAGCCTTTCACTTGGGGGAAACCAGATATTCAAGTTCTTCGCAAGTGAGTCATATTGGTTCTGTTTTTTCCTTGAACTTTTTTATGGAGGGTTGCAGGCCTGGGGTTTATATCAAGCTATGCATCTTGAATTTCTTGTCCTTGCTGCATTTTGCTTTTGCATACATATCATGGGATTTGGTAATAGTTGCTATACCAGCAATGTTCAACCATATTTTGGCTACACCTGAAAAAACTGTAAACATCCCTGAGAAATGTCTGTTTGCTTCATGGGAGTTGTGTCTTGGAGAGTCTTGCAATTATCATCCTTATGGTCTGTAAATTATGCCTATTTTGGCCACACGCAGATTATGCTGGGAAAAGTTTGGGTGGGGCATTCAAAAGTCAGATGAGTTGCTTTTGCCTGTTCTAAAAGAGTATAATAAACGTGAGGTTAGTCTCTCTCTCTCTCTCTCTCTCTCTCTCTCTCTCTCTAACTCAGTGCCCTTCATAGAGAAAAACTTAGCAATTGCTCTTATCAGAATAACGGACCAAATGTTTGTGACTGACGACTCTTGATGTGTTCTTTGTTTATGGAGCCCCACAGCAAAACGGTGTAACAAGCACAAATGAAATCACTGTATATATCCCAAAGATATAGTCTGAGACACACATACATATACAATGTAGACCACAATTGCTATCGGCCAATCACATTACTGGCGAAGCAATTCTCTCCTACAGGACTGTTTTTTTTCCCGGTATGCTGTTAGTGTTTCCCTATAAAAGATTTAGAAGTCATGTGGTATTTGATTATTATATTTGGTTCAGATTTCATTCCTAGTTATGTATATAGGACTAAATGTTTCTGTGGCAAATGAATGACAATTATCTGTATCCATAAAATCTCTTTGCCTACTTCCGTGTACTGACAAAGTCTCTGAAACTTATCTTGCATGAGTAGTCGCACGATACAGGTTCCTGGTCACTTATGTATCGATACTTTCTTTCTTTATTTTTTCTTGTTATATCAGCCAGCAATCTTATTGAAAAATAAGTAACGATACCGCGCCTAAAACAGCGAGCGCAAAAAAAAAATTAAATCGCACGAGCCACCCATACTTCTTGGAAGACGTTCGATTATAATATGAAGGACTCTACAGATATATTTGAATCAACCAGGTGAAGCTAAATCTCTCTGTTTTCTTTTCAAAGAATCCGTGTACCAAGTCAAGATACTTGAAGGTATTATGTTTTGTGTTCCTTTACGCCCCGGCTCTATCGCAATTTTTCTGATCTGTAAATATAATATATAAGTGAACTCGGACAAACTCGGGAACACAATGCCTCACATAAACTAGGGTCTGACCTCTAAACACCCATATAAAATGAGAGGAGAATTTAAGAAGGACGTCTAATTTGCACTTGCTAACCAAACTAGAATCTGACTGGGTATGGCCTCGTCTTATAATATCATTCCGGGCTCGGTGATGTAATGGGGACTTTCACTCTGAGGAAATAGTAGTAAGGTTCCTATGACCAAGAGGTCGTGCACTTACTATGGGGCCAGTTGTTTATAGAGATACTAAATTAGATGGTTCGCGTCGAAAAGGCGCTAAGGACAGACAGAGAGATAGGCAAACTTGGCCAAATGCTCCGTTGAATGCAATGGTCGCGCCATGCGCAAGAGAGAGCCGATAAAGTAAAATATCCAGGGAGTGGATTTTGAATCACCAGAATCCAAACGCATGCCTAGAAAGTTTGTCAGCAAAATGGCTTCAAAGTTATCGAAGAGTGACACCAGATTAAGAGGGGTCAAGGGAAGCCGTGTAGGAGGTGACGGTGATTCCAATAAAATTGCCGTATGGCAAGGACACTATTCGCACAAATAGGCCATCACGATAAGTTCACAAATTCATATTGCGCCAGGAAAGAAGAGAGCACTCTCCCCAAGATTCGAGGAACCGATGAGCCATACGAAGGACCCAGTTAACTAAAAAGATAAACCACACTCGAAAACGTAACGCAGTACAGAAGGTAATGAGGGCCTTCTACTAGGTTAAACAGGTGTAAGAAAAGGTTGGCCCAAATCCACCAAGTGAACCTGTATAGGAGCCTCTTGTCACTGTCACGCGTGTTGTGAACGTTTCTAGACGGACACAATCTCAATCGAAGGCACCGGCGCGGAATGCATACTTCCCTAATTTTTTTGCCGAAAATGACACAAGTGTGAACTCGATTTGGTCTCTCGACATGTTGAAAGATGAAAAGTTGGCAAAGGATAATAAACTTGAGCAGACAAGTTGTGGGGGTAGAGAGAAACAGAAACAGGAGCGAAACATATGGGCGCTTACAATACTATGTTCCCAACGTATAGAATATAGGGCGTCAGGTCCGCGCGTGTTCTGATGATATGGCCATTCCCCACCCCAGAGTGAGCCAATAGAATATGTCAAGAACTGGAGGCGCCTGTTGAAATCTTGCGACGGAGTGTGCGTGCAGAATAAATGTCACAACGTTGGCTTCCGCGACCCAAGAGTGAGTCAAAATTGTTCATAGGTTTTTATCCTATGAAAACCCCTATGTACCTAATGGAGGGTTGAAACGAGGCCCTCCTGGAAGAGTGTATTACTAAACCACAAGTGCTGAAAAGCGATGCTTGCGAATTTAGCTGTAGCCGACCCTTGCTGCCAAAGGTCCTCGTCACGGTCGGTGGTAACAAATTGAAAGTACTATTGGAATTCTCGGGGTCCAAAACGGGAAACAAGCCTAGTTGCGCAAACACCCAAACACCAAAGGTGATAACTACCTAGCAAATGTTCAAAACCAATCAGTATTTGGCGTTGACACCCTCGAAAAAAGCAAACCTGCGAGCACAACGTCACACTGCACACGAATAGAGGTGCACAAGGCCACATGGTCTGGAGTATGCATCAATAGAGATGTTGTGTTCTTGGAGGGTGGGTCTGGCATCTGAATCATCCTTATGGTCTGAAAGACATGTATGCCTATTTTGGCCACACGCAGAGTAGTATAGCTGGGACAAAAAAGCTAGAGTAGATGGGATCAAGGCAATTTACAAAGTCAGACTTGAGTTGCTTTTGCCTGTTCATGAAAAAGTAGCTGAGTCTCAGTAATAACGTGAGGTTAGTCTCTCTCTCTCTTCTCTCTCTCCTCTCTCTTCTCTCTGCTCTCTCTCTCTCTCTCTGTCCTCTCGATGTACCACGCACACGGTAGCAACCACGAATAGTCAACATCCAGAAGCAGACTCCAAAAATGCAGAGCGAGGTGCAAGGAAGCATAAATGATCAACCCAAAGGCGCCAAGTATAGCGAGTGAGGACCAACTCTCTCTCTCTCTCTCTCTCTCTCTCTCTCTCTCTCTCGTGTACACAATTGCACCTGCACATCCAGGAGCCAGACTCCAAATCAGAGGGTGAAAGAAAAATTCAGTAGAGGGGACCAAATCAGTACATTTTTTTTTTTTGCACTACTTTGTAAACTTTTTTAAGACATTTGGAGCCACCCCCAAAAAATAAAAGAGAGTGCTCCCTAGCTTTGGCATTGTATCTATCCAAGCAATTGGAGACTGAATAAGATAAAAGCAAGCAAGCAGAGATTGATCATCAGTGTAAAGAGAATAATTTGTGCATATGTCTTGAGCAACCGCTTCTTTTATTCTGTCTGCTAACATTCCACTTCTGAATTTGTAACTTTGTTATTTTGTGAAAATGCTGATTTCCTTCTGTTTTTATGGCTTGTGTAATTGGAGACTCAACTACGAATGGAAGCATTTTACAGTTTCAATGAAAGATTTGCAAAAATTCGCAGTAAGAGAATCAAGAAAGCTCTTAAAGGGATTACTGGAAATCAATTCTCAGAACTGATGGAAAATGCTGTGGAAGAAAATTCTAGAAGTAGAGAGAAAAGAACAGTGATGCCCGATGAATCTGGTGATTGTAAAACAGAGAGACCTTCTAAGAGAGCCAAGGGAGGTATTCACAACGATAAGAACAACTCTCTAGAAAAATCTGCTACGAAGAGGTCCAGGAAAAGCACCGTGGGAGAGCCTGTTTTGTCTGAAGTGAAGAATCAAGGAGAGCAAGCAGAAGGCAGGAAAAGCACACATAAAGGATCACATGGAGGTGGAAGAGGTAAAGGAAGAGGTAGAGGCTGTGGAAGAGGAAGGGGGAGGGGAAGGGGAAAAGGAGATCTTGGATTTGAACAATCCAACTCCAGCTCAGATGATTTCACGGATGGAGATGACAAGCTGGAAAATCATGTGCAGAAGTCAGAAGAGTCACAAGGACTACGGAGGGTAAGCTCAATCCTTACCTCATGTTTTCTTCAATACGTTATGTAGTTTTTTTTATAAATTCATAGAAACACGCAAACGAATGTGAGGGTTCCTGCTTCTCCATAATTATACCATGTTACTTATGAATTCAACTCTTCTATTCCCTTGAGTGGAAATGCCTGAGCCTGGAAAAAATTTACTCCCTTCGTCCCATATATTTGGGCTCATTTTCCTTTTTTATTGCTCCCACAATGTAGTCCTATTTCCTTTTTTAAAAGATCATTTGTTGTTTAATTTCTTAATATGCCTCTATTTAATGTACCTCTATATTTCCAGAACTCTATGGAGGAGTATTTGAGGAAGAACTACACAAAAAATATAGTTTAACTATATTAACTAAGTTTTTCCTTAATCCATCTGAAAGTCAAAACTAGGCCTATATATATGGGATGAAATGAGTACTGGTTTTAACTTTTACATGAAGCTTTCTGTACACTCTACTGCCTGTCTTGGCTTTGGTTATTTGATAAAAAAATATTGCTTGTGTAGTGCCCTTTTGCAAGTTGGGAGTCAAAACTTTCAGTAGATTAAAGATGGTGCTTTACACTAAGACTGTTAATTGAGATTATCTTTTTTTTTTTTTTTTTTTTATTTTTTTTTTTTAATGTGGTTTATCATGTGAATTCCCTTTCTGTACTCGAAGGGTTTTACCTTTTCAATTGAGCCCTTTTTTTTTTTTTTTGTATATTCCAGTCAATGCGCTCACGGAAGCCTGTAAGTTACAGTCCTGACGATTTGGAAATTGATATTGTGGACAAGCAATTAGACCAGGATGATAAAAATTCTGATAAAGAGGCAGTAGAACCAGATTTATTTGGAGTTCTAGAGGTATGTAGAGATTCCAGTGCTAGTCTCAATGACAAGGAAGACCTATTGCCTGAGAACTCTAAAGATCATCTTGAAATGGGAGGGGGATTTGTCACCGATGAAGATGGTAATGGTCAAGCTGGTGTGAGCAATAATAGCTATCCTTGTGAACCTGATGCCTCTAAACATTACCTTGAGATGGGAGGTGGGTTTTGCATGGATGAAAGTGAGACAGGTACCAACCAAGATGCTGCCCACAGCCCATCTATGGCTGCTGTTGGAGAGATATTTGAGTCTCCCTATACCTCTGGTCTTATGAAGGAAGCTGACTGTCCTAAGGGTCCAGTTCAATCTGTTTCTGGTGACGAAAGAACTTCGAATGATGTCCAAGATGGACAGACAACGATTTCCTTTGTTATTGAGCCAACTAAGCATGGTGTAGATGTGACAGACACCGTTGATCATTCTCAAGCCAATTCATCTCTGGCTAAAACCACTGGAAGTGAAACTATTGGACGTCTCAGTGCAATGCCTTTCTTGAAAAGAAAGCGAAGGAAGAGTTGAAAAAACCGTGCAGAATTTAGATTTTAGGATGAACTTGAAAACTTTTCCTCATTGTAGCCCTGTAAATCCTCTTATTTCATTCTTCTCCACTTATTTTGTTTTTCAGGTTGAAATTTAAATGAATTGTGATATGTAAACACACCATATGCTTTCAAGTAGCTATAGTTTGTGGTTTATTTAAACAAACCGAACTGGAACTTCTCAAGTGGTTCTCCAAATTTGGAGACTGATTCTGGTCTCGCTGGTTTTGGTTTTATTTCTTGGTTCAATTGATTCAATTTTAATTGGTTTTGAACTGGTATAGATCCACTGGGGATCGAATCTCAACCGACTATACTTAGAGACTAATATATAAAGCTTAAAAGAATGATGTATAGTAACCCCCACATCCACTAAATTATGTAGTTTGTATACACTGTACCTGAGTTCCTTGTCCATAGCTGTGTTCTTTCTGCACATACACCTGCAGTATTGCGTCGACCGGGATCGGAGCACATAAATTTACTCTTAATCTTTCACTAAAAATTTTGTGGCCTTTCAACTTATGATCCCTTAAACTTTAATTTTTGTAATAATTACACACTAAATTTTATTTTTTATAATAAATTATGCATCTCGGTACAGTAAATAATGCATGAATGCAATGACATAGATGTCAATTAGTTTTGCGACATCAAATCTGTACATCTCATGCAGCAAAATCAATCCGTCTATCTCATCTCTACCATTACCTACCTATCTCACCTACCCTATGATACAAAAATAGCTAGAATTTGTCTTTTAAAGAAGAAAAGGAGCTTCATTTGAAAACAGAGTATAGAGAAAACAAAAATTTATGTGATCTTTAATTTCTGAGTTCTTTATTTCCTGAGCAGTCTTCTTTTGCTAATAATAAATCTCAGCCTGCTAGATTGTAGAAAACTATATTTGTGTTCTTTGAAGGTATGTTTGTTTATAGTTTAATTTTAACGGCAAAAGTAATTTCTAAATTTAAATATTATTTTTAACTTTGTTTTTTTTTTTTTACTTGTAGTTGTTTTTCTTCTTCATGTTCTTTGTTTTCAAAAGTCATGGCCATGTGAGGTAAAGAGACTTTTTTTGGCTCTTGATTTGGGAGGTTTTTGGGCTCTGAACTCAAATGAGTTTTCCATAAAATAACTTGATTTTTCTTTAACTGTGTTATTTTTGTTGTAAATTTACGTCTGAACTTTATAATTTTTATTTTTTGGCACCCTAAATTTTATGGATGGGCTATTATGCATCTGAACTTACAAATTTTATTAATATTACATACCTTTCGACATTGATATCAATAATTTTATTTGAACTTATAAATGTTGATAATATTACATACCTTTCGACACTAATAATTTTCAAAAATTTCAACTATTAATTAGTGTTTAATTGATCTAATCTTGCAAGTTGAAGTGTTCAATAAAATAAATTTGAAAATTAAATGTATAATAGACGTAATTTTATAAGTCGAATTGTTTAATAAAAAAAATTAAGAGTGTCCTAAAATTAAAATGATAAAGTTTAGAGGTGAATTTATGCATATCTATTTTGCTATTTTTTTGTAATTAAAAATGGATGCCATGCAAAGGTACATGTGGACACTTTTTTTCACATCACTCCTTTCGTAGTGTGCGTGCATTTCAATTTGCAGTTTCGAGCATAGCAAAATATGTAAATATTATAAAAAAAATAAAATTTAGAGACCGTAAAGTCATTTTAAAAATTAGAGAGCCACAAAAATTTTTTTTTTAGAATTTACAGGTAAATTTATGTATTGGTGAGAGTTGACACATAAATTTATGTATTCCATCTATCCGTTAATTTTTCCATCATTGCGTGCATAATCCATTTCATAAAATAAGCCTAACAAACAAACAAAATCATTGAAGTATTTTAGTTTCCTGTTTCAAGGGAGCAGAAAAGTCTAAAGAAGCTGTCTGCAGTACAACGACAGCCGCACTAAAGGGCTAACTCAAAAATGGAGGCGAGTTCCTGGATATGGGATTTGGCATGTTTTGCAGGAATGGTCTCAGTGGAGTGCACAGATGTAGGTATAGCAACCATAAGCAAAGCAGCTTTATCACAAGGAATGAGCAAATATGTTTCTGTTGTTTACTCCAATGCTCTTGGCACTCTCATTCTTCTCCCTTATTGGCACTCTCATTCTTCTCCCTTACTTCATCTTCTACAGGTTGTCTTCCTTTTTCTTCACTATTAATTAATTTCTTGCTTCTGTGGAAAGAGGGAAACTTTTGACTTTTGAAACTCTTTTTTAATTTTCAGGAAGAGGCGAGCTCCCATCAATCCCTCTCTCCTTTTTAGATTCTTCCTTCTGGGTTTGATAGGGTATGTGTTTGATATTGTGATCTTTTGACCTTCAATAGACTGAAGTTTCATTAATAAAAATGTTTATTGCAGAAGTACAGGACAAATAATTTACTTAGCAGCTGTTAAATTGAGTTCTCCAACTCTTTCTTCCTTTCTTCTGCTATGGCCAATCTTATACCCATTTTCACTTTCTTGCTTGCAGTAATCACAAGGTCAATACCCATTTTTCCTTTTTATGTACAGTTTCTGGGAAATCCCTTTCTCCTTTTTTTGTCTTGAATGGAGGTGACTTTGAAATTTTTCCACCTTTTTTTGGAAAAATTAACAGGATGGAAACTCTAGATTTGAGAAGATCAAGTAGCCAAGCTAAACTTTCGGGAGCTATTGTATCAGTAACAGGAGCATCTATAGTGACCCTATATAAAGGCCCTGCAATTTTTATGATCCAGTCACTAACTTCTCACTCTCACCATCTTCAACTTCAACCTCTTCACTCACAGAAACCAGAGTGGATCTTTGGAGGTTTTCTCCTTGTAATTGTTGTGCCTTCTGTCTGCAACCTGGACCATTTGCCCAGGTGATTTTTTTTTTTTTTTAATTACCTTTCCCTAAAAATTTAATTTAATTCTATATATGTTTAATTCATTTAATTAGATCAATTGAAAATGTTTTCATTCATGTTATTCCAAATATTTTGTGAATTCATTTCGCAGGAGCAAACAGTGAACAGTAAACCAGAAGAACAGTGAAGCAGTACCCAGAAGAAATGACCATACTGTTCTTTTTCACCTTGTTTATCACAATCCAAAGTGCATTTTTCTCACTTATTTTGGAAAGGAATCCAAATGCATGGAGATTGAAATCTGCCATTGAAATTATTGCCATCGTTTTCACAGTAAGAAAATCTATCCAGATTTTATTTATTTATTTATTATTCTATAATGGGTAATTATCTATTTAGGTAAAAATAACACTCGCATATCAATTGTTTGGTAAAATCATTTGATTGTCCATCAGGTTTAATTTTAGCCTTGTTAAATTATTTTAAAGTGCTTTTTTTTATATTAAATATCCTATAATATTTGGATTTAATCCGTTAACTTTTGTTTTTGAGTTTACTGTTGACTTGCTATTCTGTTCCTTAATTGATAACAGAAATTGTACTTTTTAGACAAGAGAATTAAGAGATTATTTGAATTGATGGAATTTAAATGGTGAAATTTTTATATTCATTAATTCGTCAAATTCCTTTGTTTGGTTAATAAATAAATAAATAGACATTTAATGAAATTGATAGAGTTCATAATGGTCTCAATTCTATCATTTTAGAAGGAAAAAAAAAAATCTTAATTCCATCATTTATATTGATAAATTTAAATCAATTAATTTTGTTTTAGAAATATCTTCAAAATTTATGTTTTATGCTTTTCAACCAAATAATGGAATAGGAAATTCTATTGATTTCATAATTCACAGGCTATACATTTTATAAATTTTATAAAAATCTACGAATTTCAGAATCTATCGATCTAAATGGCCTCTAAATAGTTTAAATTTGAGAGATTGAATATTTAATTAGATTGAATATAATTGCAGTCACTTTCCATAACATTTGTCAAAGATGATATGCAATGAGGAAATATTATATTTATTTATTTAGATATTAATTATTATTATATGATTGCAGTCATTTCCCATAGGATTTGTCCAAGATGACATGCAATGAGGAAATATTATATTTATTTATTTAGTTATTAATTATTATCATATGATTGCAGTCATTTTCCGTAGGATTTGTCGAATATGCAATGCTACTTATATAGAAAAACTGGAATTCCATATGATATATAATATTTATATGCTTGATTGAGGGTAGTTGATGTTCTGTTCCTTCCACTGAAAATATTAATATATTTAAAAAATCACAAAAAGAAAAAAAAATATTTATTAAAATTAGGTGAGACAATGAGAGCGCTGTTCCCGCCTTTTTATACATGGCTGGTGGCCCCACTGTGTCTGAAATTTTAATGTCAGCATATGGACTAAATTATTTTGATTGAGTATAACATAATACATATTTTTACTTTTTTTTTTAATTTCTATTATTTTATATTATAATAATATTTTATATTAATAATAATATTAATTAAATTTAAATATTTCTAATTGAGTTCAAAAATTATGTTATTACCTTTTTTTATTTATTTTTCAAATGTAAATTCCCAAATAATCAGTCTCCGGATATTTTTATTTTTTTCCTAACTGAATTAATCAGATAATTAACTGTGATTTTGGTGTGAATTAGGCATATTTGGTGAGTCTGTTTCGAATTGGGTTCACACGTGGTGCTTTGGGCAAGAAAGGACCTTTATATGTAGCCATGTTCAAACCTTTGGGTATTGCTATTGCTGTGTTCATGACAGTCACTTTTCTTGGTGAAACCCTTTGTCTTGGCAGGTATTTCTTTATTGGTTCTCCAATCTAAACCCTTTTTTCTTTTAAATAATAAATAAGGGCATTGAAATGATGGAGTTTTGTGATGTTTCCATTGCAGTGTGATTGGTTCTATTATAATCGCACTTGGATTTTACAGTGTGACAAATGAAGGAGAAGAACAATGAAGCTTTTAGCAGTCAAAAAGTCCCTCTTTTACAAAGGAATGCTTCTTTTAGAGAAGATAATTAGTGTGCCTAATTTTACTTGAAAAGCAATTTCTGTTCCTGTAACAGGCAGGAATTAGGAGAATCATATGAAAGTGTACATGGAAATGTGAGTTCGAGAGAGAACATAATGAAAAAAACATCTGCTTTTATGTCTGTAATTTTAGAGTTTTCTATAATGAAAATTTGAACTCTTTTCTTGAGAAAATTTATTAAATAATTTTAATAATCTCGAGGGATTTGTTTCAAAACCACTGATAGTGGTTTAGTTAAAGGAGATGTATGGATAACAAAACCACTGAGTAGTGGATTTAGTTAAAGGAGAGTTTGGATAAGGTTTTCTCTTTCGTTCTCCACTTTCATGCTTCTCTTTTTAGAAACTCTTGAGTGTTTTAACTATTTTTAAATATATAATTTATATTATTATTACTTAATAGTTACAGTTATTTGTGTATAATTATTCATATAAAATAGCTATTTACCTAATTAGTTAGATAGAGTGGTTTGAGAACTTCTTCTCTTCTTAATCAAAGGTTTCGAAGTGTTTGGAGCTTGAATATTAAATATTGCCAAAGCTATTTTGATAAATGCGTTAATTAGTTTAACATCTAATACCCATAAACTAATTAGTTTGATCTAAGAAGTTGTCAATTCTAGAGGTTAATAACTTGATTATTTGGTCCTTCTTTTATCACAATTTAATTTCTTAGTATTTCTTGGTCATGGCACACTATAAATTATATTTAGTCCTTTCTTGAAAATGATAAAAATAACACTTTCTAAACAAAGGATTAAATAATTCAATAGAGCTAAATTACCAAATTAAAAAAAAAGTACAAATACATTCCTAACTATATAAATTTGCTATAGTTTTTTAGTTGTTTTATATCTTTTTTATTCTTTTTCATAATAATATTGAAAGTCATTCCTCTGTAATTTTTCTTCCCACCCATTACTTAAGATGTCGTTTTATTTTTGGCATTTAATTTTTTTTATAAAAGGTTGCGACACATTTTATTCTTTGTGGGGTATGCTTTTTCCTCCCAATTAGGTTTTAATCATGCAATAGTTAATATAATGGCGCCGTTGTGCATTATTTATGAGTTTTCTACCTGATAGGGGACGTCTGAACATAATTAATTTGAACTGATATTATATTATATTGAACTAAAATTTATAAATAAATAAATATGAGAATTTATTTGTTTTTCAAATTTTTTATACTTATCAATTCTATTGAACTAATATAATTTTATTTTCATTGTCAAGGTGATTAAAATGTTAAATTTATATTCGAATATATTTGGAGTTTGATGTTAATGCAGATGAAAAATTGTAATTTTCATGAATGTAAATTAAACATATTTACTTTTACGTTTGTGTTGTATATTATATTAATGTAATTTGCATATGTCAACTACCCCATATCACACCTCCCACCCCTCCCTACCGTACCACATCACTCTATCTATCCTCCATCACATCAGCACCAACACCATCTACACTACTACTACAACACCACTCCATCACACCGATCATATTACTAATGAAAAAGTAAAAATATTTAGATACAAAAGTATTCATTCATATGAAGCTATTAAAGACTAACATAGATTCTTATAAGCTAGTTTACTAGAAAATTAAAAGGAAAGAATAAGTCAGTAAAATAAAAATTGTAATGTGATAAAAATAAAAAGTTTTTTACACGACTTATAATATTTTTCATTTGAATAAATTAAATACATATAAAATTATGATTATTTTATGTTTTTAGTAATTATTCATTCCATTCTTCTCTATTCCTATTAACAATATAAAAGAATATATTAATAATGATTTGTGTGGTTGGTGATGTTGGTGGTGTGTGTAGAGTGATGGATTGCAAGCGGTGGATGGTGGGTTGCGGTGGTGGGTGATGGATAATTTGGTTGCGTGGTGGTGGATGGTGTGGTTAGCAATGAGTATGAATTTTAAGGAATGTAATGGGCTTTACATAGATTTTTTTTATGGTATATAATATTACATTAAATCATCATTTAAAGTAATGAATATTATAGATGTAATGTCAGTTACAGTTATGAGGATTTAAATAAGTTAACTGAATAATGCAATCAGTCTGCATTAAATGTAATTCTTTCATATTATTATATATGATTAATTATAGTATAGTCCCACATAGCCTACTGACTCAATAACAATGTTTTAGATATGCAAGGAACCTATATCGATATGGCAGATCAAGAAACATAAGAATATAAGGCTAAGAATATCATGTTATTTTGCAAAAACGTGGTAAATTGATCGTATCCTAAATTGGTGGTCAAATTTAATTTTGAACTAAATTGAATATTCAATAAAAATTCAAGGATCAAAATTGTGGTGTTTATACGACATAAGCAAGCTACTCTCTCCCTTATCTATTCTTTAAATAGATCCCTGCAGTGAGAAATAGCACTACAGAGAAAAAGAGGAAAATGGGTCAAGATTTTATATAGATTCCTAATCTTCCTTGAAGTGGCTATGGTTCCTGTAGATCACAAATTGTTAGTTTTAAACACTTTATTCAAAGCATGCCTCTTTGACAGGGATGAGTTATTTTGTTTTCATAGCTTAAGTATTGAATGGCAATTGGTCAAACTCTTGTCTTACAGTATACACCGGTTCCCTTTCATTTTAACAGGTCTTCAGGTTATTTCTTTTCCCTATTCATGACTTGTGTCTTTTCAAACTTGTTCCGTAAATGCCAGAAGCAATAGTATAAGGTAGTTTGATTTCCCTTTACAGAGCAGTCAGTAATTCAATTCAATCAGTTTCCCTCTCTCTATAGATTTTGTCAATTCGCGTTATCGGGTAAATTTATTATTATCTCTCATTAAGCTATCATGTAAATTCGTGTTGAAGCTTTTAATTAAACTTTGTTTTCTTGGGAAGCTATCTGGAAAGAAAGGTCTTAGAATACACTTCTGACAACTCTTTTCTTCAGCCATGAGCCAATCTAACGCCCAGCCTTTTACCTTTTGCCTTTGCAAGTTTTGTTCAAGGTGTGTCTCAATTTCAAGGCTATTTTTTTTTATTTTGTTCAGAGGTTTTAATTATAAAAAGATGCCTCGATGGTTTTAAATTAAGAAGAAAAAAAAATCAAATTGAGGAATCAACATAGGTGACTACATTTCTTTAAGTTGAATATTAAAAGAGTAATTGTCACATATTATTAGGACTTTTCTTAATATCTTATAATCAAAATAAAAGAGTTTTGTTCTTATGGAACACCACTGGATATAAATCAAAACTAAAAATTCCTTAAGTTATTCGTATTTAATATGTTTGTCCTTTCTTATTTCAGAATAGATTAAACATGGCTAGATAGGGCTATGAAATCAATCACCTGATCAAAATTAAATTCAAAATAGAAATTTTCAAAAAGAAGTTTTTCATTTTATTCACAATCTTAAACCCGTTTATAAATAGCTTAATCCATTATAATCAGATTGCGCAATAAGTTAACTGAAAAAATCCCTCCTAAGAATTTTTCTAAACTTTTACTCAATAAGTTTGAAATAGATTGTTAAGAACTAGCCTTTCATTGGGTGCCACTTGTAAAGAATGGAGAATGTAGATATGAGAAGGTGGAAAGCACTCAAGCTAAACTTATTGGAACTATAGTTTTCAATATGAGAGCTGGATAGAGATATACTATTAACCATGCATATGTAATAGTATAGCTTAGAATGATTTTCTATTGAACAATTATTTCTTTGTCATTTAATTGGAAAATTGCATTAAATAAAATGTTATTAGCATAATGAACAATAATTGTGATTAGTAACATTTTGTATGTATTTAATTGGCCAATAGAGAATGGATGTTTAGTACTGACTGTTAAACATAATTCTCTAGGACAATTAGAAATAATGTTTATTGTTCTTATCTTGATTTTATTTTAATATGAGCAATATTGATTGTCTTGTGCTTTGGATTCATTAAAGGGTGAGTTTTCATTATTGGAATAATAAATTCCTCGTGAATTGGGCAAAAGATATTTTGTGTTTGTGAAATATTAAACTTAATGATAGAATCCATGTCTCGGTTTAGAAGATTGATGATGCACTTTAAGTAAGCTTATAAGGTTTCATAGTGTAAACCCTGCCAGGTGGATATTCGAATCCGACACATGAAATAAGTTGAAGCGACATATCTTAAAGTTATATTGTGATTTAAATAAATTCCAGTAAGTTATTTAATGACAGCATCTGTAATCTTACGTGGGGACATATTTTATTATGTTGTGGAATTGTAAAATAAATAAGGGAGTTCCAGTCATGAGTTTTTTAAGTGGAATAATTTCATGATTAATTATAATAAGATATGTTGGTCTATATAGTTCTTATTATAATTAGTACCCTGATTTATTTTATTCCTGCGTCCTGTAGTGGCCCTAATTCAATTTGGAAGTTAAGGGTGTATTAAATAATAGATAAATTATTTAGTTTTTAAAATAATTGATATTATTTTAAGTTAAAATAATTTTTTTATTTAATTTATTTTATATTAAAAATTATATCTTTCCTGAGAGTTTTTTTTTAAAATATAAGATTGGTAAACGCCTAAGAATAAGTGAACCGCACGTTATTCTATTCTCTACCACTCAGAGAGAGTTCCAAAAGAAGAGATAGTTTAGGGATTACTGCAGAAGATCGTGGGTGACTCCAAGATCTTTCTGGAAAGAAGACCGGTGAGCGATTTCTAGCGCTTCAAGAGGTTGTTTATTGATTTGTCGATAATGTTTTTTAGTTTGCCTCATAATGGTTTCGTTAAGGGTTGTTTCCGCTTTATAACCCGCTCCATCGGAAGCGGCAGTGGTGGTTTTTCTACGAAAGCTCAACAATTTTTTCCCCCACTTATCATCCAAAAACTCCATTTCATTTCATTGGCCTCTTTGCTTCTGCAAGCAATCTGACTGG